TTTTTTTTTTTTTGTGTCTGTGAACGCTCAATCTCAGTTCTCGCTGGACCGATTTTGATGAATAATACGTCAAAAGATCACAAATCGTATCTAGTCGAAGACATTACCCTCAAGAATTGAAAAAAAATCCCTCGTTCCCCGTAAATGGGGGAAACCTCCAAAAAAATTACAAATTTAAAAATTGCTAATTTTCAAAATTTTTTCAATTTTTTTTACTAAAAACTGCCATAACTTTTTTAAAAATGAACATATCAATATAATTTTTTTTTATATAGATGCATGATATCATTACTTTTCATTTGGTATATTTTTTTATATCTGACCCTTTAACTGCCCAAAGAGGGGGATTTAAAATGACAATTTTTTCACAAAAAATTAATTTTTTCAACTTGACTTTTGAAAATGTTCCGGAAAGTCTGACACTTTTATACATATCTTAAATTAAAGTTAATGTAATGTTCTTTATTATGAAAAAAAAAATTTCGTACTTTATTTTATCTTCACGGTGAAAATGGCTACCGAATGCTATTTTTGTGTGAAAATTCTGGATTTTATTTTTAATTTTATAATGCTATAACTTATTGAAAAGTGTATGGATCAACATAATTTTTTTATGAGAAATAATAATTTTTAATAATTCCTTTTTCATTCGATATACTTTATCTGAATCAGGATATTAATAACGAACTAGCAGATCATGTTGTTTTTGGAATAATCCACCAATTTTTTAAAATTAAACACTATCTAAAGATTTGCATCGAAGCGTTTTTTTTTATAGTGATTTTAATCACTGTCAGATATCATAATACTTGATCCAACTATGCCACGTCACCACTGTGCCGCGACCCCCTTGTGCTGAGTTTTTTTTTTATTTTATTTAGAATTAAATTGAATTAAAATTATTTTAATCATTGTTTTCAATCACACAAATAGAATGACTTTAATTCAATTACTAGAGCAATTGTGTACCAATTCTTATAAGAATTTATAGATTTATAAATACGTACTCTTATCCAGGTGCCTCATTTCAGTTTTTTTGGGGCGTGCGAAATTTCAAGAAGACCATTTTGAAATTTCATCAGGCCATATAAAAATATATATACCTACTTAAGTAAATTATTCTTCCTTTAATTTTTCAATACCTTTCGAATCATAATCAATATATTTAGTAAATATAAATTATAATAATAATTACTAATTTAATATTATATAATATGAAGTAGCGTCGGGGTCGTGGCAATCGTTGAATTATATATTTATTAGTTCATTACCGTTATCAATTATTGCTGTTAACTGCACGGCAAAAAAGTCGTGATAAAAACGTTAGCACAGTGGGGTCGTGGCATTGTTAGAACCAGTATAGATGATATCTGACAGTGATTGAAATCACTATCGTAAGAAACACTTCGATGTAAATCTGTAGATAGTGTTTAATTCTAAGAAATCGGTGGATTATTCTGAAAGTAAAATTGACTCATATTTTTTGTTCTACTTTGACTGCCATTTGCACATAGAAAATAGGTCATCAATATAAATTTTTTTTTTTTTGAACTTCTAGTACATAACATTAGCTTTATATTAATATATAAAAAAAGAAAAAGTTCTAATTTATACTCGTATTTTTAAAAATATAAAGCTCTCCTGTATAAATGAAAATGGTCCGATTTAAAAAAAAATACAGAGGTCGTTTTGATGTCTGGATGAAAACATCTAATTTTATATTATTGCAATGAATCACAATTTACTGTTTTACACATATGTGTGTTAAATGTTTAAGTTAAAGTAAAAATAAAAATAAAAATTTTTGGGGCAAAAATATTATTTACTGAATTAGATTAAATACACTTGTGGCATATTTATTATTTTATACATTCTATTCATAGTTCCTTTGGAATCCTTGACCCTAAGTTAATTGTTAATAGTGTTTTTTTTAACGTTATGTGTCTAACTTAAATTTTGGTATTTAATATATATATATATCTTCTTTATTAGCATGTTTTAATTTTTCAATAAATTGTATTTTGTTATGATAATTACAAAATTAAATCATAATACTTAATAAATTTGTTATCTTAAATTATTACTATTCTTCATAACCTTTCCTCATAGAATAAGGTACGAAATCCCTGGTGCTCCGGCTTTGTCTCGGCCCAGGATGGATCCTCCTCGAGGTTCTTGTAAAGTGAGGCTGATTTACATTATTTGAGCTTACAACTTTAATATTAAAATGATAGTACAGTGGGGTCGCGACATAGTGTGAGCGTAGCATAGTTGGAACTAGTATAGATGATATCTAACAGTAATTAAAATCACTATCATAAGAAACGCTTCGACGCAAAACTGTAGATAGTGTTTAAATTTAAGAAATTGGTGGATTATTGAAAAGCGAAATTCCAACTCAAAAAGAATTACAGAAAATTTTCAAAAAAATCATTGCCTGTGGCAATGAGTTTTACTAAATTGGCAAACGTTCGTCGCATTCGTTTTTTGATAAAATTGTCAATTTAAGCTGATTCAAATGTTAAAATTAATTTTTTTGACTTTAAAGAAAAGAAAAATTGAAATAAGTTTAACATTATATTCTATGTTAATTAGATTTATATAATATTCATGAAAATTAGTGTACCCCTTTTTAAGGTATTTTAAAATAAATTAAAATACAATACCAAGAATTTTAACACAAAAATAGCATTTTTTAAAACTACGGCAACCATTTGAACATAAAAGATAATTCGTCTGGACAAATTTTATTTTTGGAACTTATAGTAATATAACATTAGCTTTATTTTAACATATGAGTATTTACGAAACATTTTCAAAACTTAAGTTGAAAAAGTTAAATTTTTGTGCTGAAGTTGCTATTTTGAATCCGTCCCCGTAGACAAGTAAAGGTTCAGATTTTCAAAAAATTTATACCAAATGAAAGAAAAATATTAAATATTTCAATGTAAAAAAGAACTATCTTAAATTATTAATTTTTCAAAACGTTATTGCCATTTTTTAGAAAAAAAAAAAAAATGAAAAAATTGTCGAAATTTATCGATTTTAAAAATCGTAATTATTTGGGGGATTTTTATTATTTACAGGGAACGAGGGCAAAGTTTTCAATTTTTGAGGGTAATGTCTTCAACTAGATACGATTTGTGATCTTTTGACGTAGTTAGTGAGAGCTCTAGTCTAGTGTCATTGGTCCAGTTAGAACTGAGAAAAAGTAGTGACAGACATAAAAAAAAAAATAAACACATCTTTGTAAAATTTAAACCTTTTTAGCTTCGCATCGACGCTAAAACTACTACGAACATCAATATCAATATCTTGCGTCCGGTACGAATATCAATAGTTCAGTATGATATATTCATTGTTTTCTCAATTAATTGTTACCAGAATATTTGTTTATTGACCCATGTAACCATGATAATACAATGTTTATACATCAATGAATAATTCATAATAAATCAATTATTGATGTATAAAAAATTGGTGCATTATTTTTGCAAGCAAATTGAGACTGTTAGGATTGAAAGTATGGGGTTAAGTTGAACACCCTGACCCTGACTGAAGAGAGGTTTTAAAATGGAGACATTAATGAGAAAAGAAATCCCAAAAATGTACATTAATATAATGTGAATATGTATGATGGCATTTATACTAGGGTAAAACGTGTTGGCGGAGAACAGAAAAATTTAGGATAAGAATAGGAGTATCCTAAGGTTTTGTTTTAAACCCCTTACTTATTCTTTATAGTGAGTTCAGAGTGTTTGGTGGTTGACAAGAGAATAGAGCAGAGAATGAATGTAGTAGAGATGAGAATACTTAGATGGATGAGTGGGGTGACTAGAGAAGATAGGATAAGGAACGAGCATACAAGAGGTAATATAGGTGTAGCATCAATCGCGGATATCATAAAAGAAAATAAACTTAGATGGTTTGATCATATTATGAGGAGAAAGGAATTAGAAGCTGCAATGAATATTGAAGGAAGAAAAGGTAGAGGTATGTTATTTAATGTAATATGAGGACGGCTGATGTATGCTTAGATGATGTGGGAGATCGTGTCAAGTGGAAGTTTAGGATAAGGGTGGCCGACCACAAGTAGCTGGGATTAAGGCCAGGAAAAAGAAAAAGAGTTATAGAATAGTATTTAATTACTCGAGTAAGTAATATGATTTTCATAATAAAATTATGTATATAAGAAATTGATAGAAAGTATCTGTATACTTAATAAACCAAACAAAATATAAAACCAACATAATATCAAAACAAAAAGATAGTTAATACCAAATCAATTCATTTATGACAACTAGAACATGTATTAAATATGATATATCATCATAATCTATTAAAGGCAATGCCTTGTCGTTGAAGCCACTCCTCTGACGCCCAATTCTTCAGTGAAACAAAAGATATGAATTAAAGAGAAAATTGATAAAAAAATTTTTAATCTACAAATATAGAGTCAAAATATATTTATGCGCAAAAATGAGACTCTCATACAAAACATGCGCATGAATTTAAAATAACCAATCATTTTCCCAGAGTCTCGTGACCGAATACCTTCGTTGAAAATTGGAGCACGCTAAGTAATTTTCTGGGTGTGCACCAATTAATTTATTGATACCATAAACCTTACACTAATGTAAATCCATAGATAAGTATATCACGTATAAGTACATAACAAGTAAATAACCACAATAGGCTATAGTTTGTAAGTCTATTATTATACACATATAAATTTTCTTAACGGTAATCATTATACCAAGGAGGATAAATACCTTGCTTTAGACTTTGAAATGTAAGTTGGCAAACTTGTATCATTCACTCTTAAAATGATACCAGAAGCTAAATAATGAAATTAACGGTTGAAATTAAGTGTTTTTGGTTATTGAAAATTTAAATTCTAAGTTATCGTATATTTTTTGGAAATTTTTTTATATTTTTGCAATTAAAATTAATATTGATTTTAAAATTTATAATTAATTGATTAGCCATTTGGAATGATACAAAACATCACATTTTATTTATTACTACAGTTTTTTACAAGTAGTTTTAAATATTTAATTCAGTAAATAATGACAGACCCAGACCTTGGCCCTAAGGCTTCATCAACAGCATTCAGACCTCAACGTTTTCGGTAAGTTCGTTATTTAATTTACAGTTAGTAGGCCCAAAGAATTTCAAAAAACAAAATTATGTTAGTTTTTGTAATCATGTATAATAATATATTTAATTAAATGGCCTTTTTTGTGAAGAGTATAACATTTGCTATCAATCTTTATTCTATCTTTATACTTTTTATTCCATAATTATATTTCCTATTTATAAGTATTGAAGTTAATATATTGTAAAGTAAAAACTTTTTTATTTTTCGTTTGGAAAAAAAAAGGAAAAAATTTTAAGTCAAACAATATTTAACAAATTAATATTATATTTAACCATGGTTAATTGAGAAATTTAATAATAGATGGTCTAAATTATAGATGTAAAAAAAAAATATTAGGAGCAAAAATTTTATTTTTGAAAGGCTTACCTTTCCCTAAAAATATTTGTTATATCAATTTAATTAAATTTTCTTAAGGTACTTTTCTAAAACTCTTTGTATAATTTTAATGATTATAAAGAAAAAAATGTTTCTTTTTTAATTTCAAACATCTGGACATCCTATTAATTAAAAATTCTTATTTTTAATTTGATACAGTGTTTTATTTTTACAATTTACTAAGAACTATTAGAAAATAAAAAGTTATTTTACGTTTACTTATACATAGTTATAGAAATTTATTGAAAGTATTTCTTACAGATCTTTACAAAGATTTAACAATATTGATTCTGTAAATGATTCTTTTGGATCAATGTATTCTAATGAACTTACTAGTAATGATTTAATAAAAAAAACTTTCTCCGAGGAATCTTCTAACAAAATGTCCAAACAAATGGATTCTATGTTAAGCGGACAATCTTCATTAGGCATATTAGAGCTTGATAATATGTCTGGTATGTTAAAAAGTTTTTTTTTATTAGTATTTTCAATAAAATATTTTGTTGAACAACTAAATTGTTATGAGTTTTCAATTAAAATAAGATTATTAATCAATTAAGAATTTTTTAAAGATATTATACAAGATCTTAAGAAAAAAGAAGATTTGTCTAGTATAGAAACCAAACATCCAATAATTCAGCAACGCCAAAGTCAAGCTAGGTTATCATTAGCTAGAGCAAGTTCAGCTGCTAATAATTTTGGTAATGTATTCTTATGATTAAATAGAAGAGCTGATACTAATTTCTTTTTTAATACCTTCAGGTAATGATAAAATTTTACGACCTACATCATCTAATATCACTAATGTTAATGTATTTGAAGATATGTATGTACAATTAAAAAAAAAAATTTGTTTGATACTTAATATAATAATAATTTATTTTTTATAGGCTTTCATATGGAATAAATAATTTTAGCTCTTCATTTTCAAGTGTTGATTTTATACCCGGTAGTGAGTTTAAAGAAAATCTAGCAGAAATTGAAGAAGTTAATAGAAAAGAATTTGGTTCATTATCAGAAAGCCGTTTCAATTTTTCTTTAGAAGGAGAAAGGTGGTATAGTATTAATTTATTTGATGTTTTCCTTTGTTTATTATTTTCTATGTTTTAGACAATCATTTGAAAATAAATCATTAGCTGCAAAATATTTTGCAACAAAATGTGTTCCAATTGAAGATTTATCAACTATTTTTCCATCCAAAAAAAACATTAATAAAACGTTTTTAAAAAAATCCCAAGAAAATAAAAATTTATCTTTTAAAAAAATTGATAATAGCCAAAGTTTAAAAGGTAAGCATAGTGATTTTTTTTAAATTTGATGTTTAATATTATTGAGTTATATTGTTGTATGCAATCTATTTAAATAAGGGAAGATGGCCAACTTGTAATTATACTTTATAATTACGTGAAAAGTTTATTTGTTGATTATATTTTAATTAAAGTAGTTATAATTTTTGAAATTTAATTATGAGTCTTCTTCTTTTTCCTTGCCTTAATCCCAACTACTTGGGGTCGGCCACCCTTACTCTAAACTTCCACTTGACATGATCTCCCACATCAGCTGTCCTTGCATTCAATAGCATCCCTCCATCTCTTTTTTGGTCTTTCTCTACCTCTTCTTCCTTCAACATTCATTTCTATAATTGTTCTAACAGCTTCCGATTCTTCTCTCCTCATAAGATGACCAAACCATCTAAGTCTATTTTCTCTCATCTTATCCATGATTGATGCTACTATGCTTTCTCTTTCTTATTTATTCCTTATCCTATTTTTTTTCATCACACCATTCATTTATTTAATTAACTATTCAATTTTATTTATTAGTGAGTTTGATGTAATGTCCATGCACTCAAATATGTTGGTCCATTGTGCACACATCATACTGAATTGCCTTAATTCGGTTTACACACCTAAGTGTTATTACATTATACCTATCATTGTGTAAAGGGTGAACTATCTAGATCATCCTCTGTGGATGTCAAAAGAGTCCTGTATTTCTGGCAAAGTGAAGTATTTCTCTGGGTCTTAGGTTTTTGACATCTTCTTTTTCGGGAAAAGGTTTAATGAAGTAGTTTGATCTTAGTGTGGATAAGACTTCACATTAGTATGTGAAATGAGTCTTCCTCTTCTACTCCACACTTCCTGCATAACAGTGTTTCCGAGATCCCCATTGTGTAGAGATGTTTAAACAAGTGACTATATCTTGTTAGTAGACCAGTTAAAGTGCTTATTTGATGTTTAGTCATGCTATTAAATCACACAGCAGTAGACCAGGGGTCTTGATAAATATTTTAGATTGTCTAGGTACTATTAAGTATTTCTAGATTTTCCTGTGTTCTCTGCTCCTTTCTTAGCTAGAAAGTTAGCTTTTACATTTCCAGTGACACCATTGTATCCTGGTACCCATGCTAGTGTAAATTTGTTGAACCTCGATAGTGATGATAAAGTTTCCCTGCATTTGAGGACAAGCTTTGAATTTACCTAATCGTTACAGAGTGTATTCAGAGCGGCTTGACTATCACTTAAGGTAGATATTTTCCTTTTCTTGTATACTAGCAGGTTATGAGCCCCCACCAGTATCACTATCAACTTTGATTGAAAAATCGAGGGTGTTGTGCCCATTGACATGCTGACATTTATTCGAGGTTTTAGACCCCAATTGCCAGCACCTACTTTTCCTGATTTTTTAGAATCCATCTGTATGTATTACAAATCCTCCTTTATCAGTCAGGTGTTTAATATTCCATTCTCTATGTGTAGTCATTTCCACTTTGTAGGGAACGGTATTCTTAAGAACCGGTTTGATATAGTCCAATAGGTATTCAAAAAAGCCCAGGTTAATCTCTTTCGTATTTTACTGTGTTCTGCTGTATCGCTCTTCATAGACCAGATACCTAAGTTATGGAATCTTAATGCCGTGACTTTCGCGTGAGCTTTAACCTCTAGATACAAAGGTGGTAATCCGATTAGTGTTTCTAATGCAATCGTTGGTGTAGTTCCTGGCTGTAACGAGTGTTTTTCTGGTTTACCAGACCAGAGCACCATACAATACCATAGGTTTAATCACTGAAGTGTATAGCCAATACATAACTCTTAGTGTAAAACCCCATGTCTTTCCCAGGGCTCTACTGCAAGTCCACAGAATGGTCTCTGCTTTTTTGATTCTGATACGATCACATTTGCATGTGCCCATATCTCTGTCTCCCATAACATCGTTGTACCGTTTAATAGACATATATATATATATATATATATATATATATAATTAACACAGTGACATACAGCAATACTAACAGGAGTGCGGACTGCACACATAAACACTTTTTGCAATTCACGGCCAATGTGCCATAATAAGATATCCCTATCGACAGTTGACATTTTACCATCTTCGCGATCACTACTTTTGCCTGATAATTAACTTAACTTCGCTACCCCGTATATTATAGTGTGTGTGTGTGTCGCCGTCAGCTCCCTGTTGGATTAATCATCTCTAGGTGTCCAGCAGGTTGTATTATCCATTTAATATTTCAATTGTTTAATAAATATTTATTTATATCGTTGTTAACCTAAAGTGTTATATATATATATTGTAGTGCGACCCTTGGTAGTTCCTCTAAGGGAATATAAATTAAATAGGAAACTTCAGTACCTAAGGTAGATATAGCCTAGCCAGCTATCCCCCGTTGGTCCCTTAGAATACTGTCGACGGGCATTTAGGCTAAACCCCTAAATAGCGACGTAACAACTCTTTACTCAACGTGTGATTTCCATTTTAGCCTACTATATAAGATAATTCTCAAGTATTTTACTTCTGATTTCAAGCTAATTTCTTGTTCATTTAAAATAAGTGTGCCAAGACTGTTCTTCTCCTAGTGAATATAATTATCTCTGCTTTATTTGGATTAAAAAAAAGACTATACTTACTGCATCATATATATATATGATAAGGTTTATCATATATTGTCTCTGTTGTACTAAGTCTATAATTGTGTTTGGGAATTTACCCATCATTACTATAGCTAAGTCATCCACATAGGCTTGTATAGAGTGGACATCATTGTTTAACATTCCTGAATATCTTGGTTTCTTGAGCTGTCCCAAACTTGAGCGATCTTTTAGCATGGTTTCTATCCATTTAATTATAAATTGCTTTGAAGGGTACCAAGTTTATTCAACTTTGTCATAGGATTATTCAGTAGAATGGAATTTTTTTTCGTTTTAGGGGGATTAATTCCTCTTATCCTCTCAAAACTATAACATTAGTAAAAATACATTAATAAGTTTTCAAGTCAATTAATAAAAATTTGTGCTGCTTCATGGCGTATTTGGAATAACTTAACAAAATGTGTGAATGGATACATTTTCGTGCTTTACTTATAAACATAGTTTTTACATTTAAAATATAGTCATTTATTAAAATAAAGATTTATTTTCAAAAAATGAACTTTTTTATTTATACTTTCCTTTAATATGAGACTCTTGATTTGGCTTCATACAAATTTTTTAATATTAGGGAAATATATAATCTTAAATTTTCTGAAATTTGTTTAGTATATATAACTTTTATTTTTATATTTGTACATAAATCTAGAGCCTGAAAGTCTTAGCCATAAAACTATGTCATCTATTACTTCATGGACAGATAGTCATGTTTCAAATAACTTGATGAATATGACAAGCCTTTCTGAAATATCAGAAATGCTTTATCAAAATTCTGATCCTGAAAAATCCAAGAATTTTGCTAAAATGCTGTTATCTGGAGGTAAATTATAAGTATTTATGCATAAATGCTTTTACTTTATATAATACAATTGCTTCATAGATTTAACTCTTAATTAGTAAAATATAAAGTAGTTTTTTTTATTTAATATTAACTCAAAATTTTAATTTACCTGAAATTGCATGTTCTATAGTTAAGTTGAAGCATAATAATTTAACAGTAGAGTATGTATTTATTTTGCTTTCTCTTAGCATTTTCTATTATTCATTAAGTAATATATAATTTAATTATGTTATGTATTAATAATATAGTAATATTTAAAATTTTAAATTTTAAATATATTAAGGTTGGTGATTTGATTTTTTAAATGTTAATTTTTACTTATTTTTAACACTAACTAAACTTAGACTATCACAAATAAACATTGATAATACTTATTAATTACAAATTCATACATTACTTAATTTAATGAATCATATAAATAAATATGTTTCAAATTTAAAAGTGATTTATATTTTTTTAGCAAAAAAAAATATAATTTTACTATTTAATTAGTTATTTTAAAAGATAAAAAAAAATTATTTAGATTAAGTTTTATTCCTCACATAAATGTAAAAATGGGAACAACATGTTTATTTTTATTTTTGGTTATCAAATAATTAAATAGTTATTAAGTGTTATTAAATTATTATTTTCAGTTTAATATTTACAAGTGGTATTTAATTATTTTAATGAAAAATAAAAATAAAACTTACTTATCTTTGAAATTAGCTCTCATTAATATTTTTATCCTAGATAATTTTGAATTTATTGAAAAGGAAAAATCCATTAGGTTGCCCCTAAGACGACTCTCTACATCCACTAGATTTTCTAACGTTTCACAAAGTCTTGAGCATGCAGATCTATGTAATCTTTATTCTTATTAATATATTTGTAGAATTAAATGACATATTGAACCAGAAAATCTTTTATCTATTAATATTATTTTTTTGACAAGTAAAGAATTGGAAAATTTAATTTTAAATATTCCTTATATTATGGCTCTCCTAAAAAATGATGAAAATTGACTTACACCGCTTTTGCTATGACCCCTACAATTATTACAAAAAATATTTAATATTTATAATTTATAATTTATATCTTTTATATTTTTATTATTAATATTTAACTTTTTACGAAATATAAACAGAAATTTGATACCAATATCTTTAGTTTTATGCAAAAACAGTAAAATTGCTAATTTTTTGAATTTCTTATAGTTTAACTTACTTAATTTATTGAATTTATTTACTATCGTTGAAAGCTTTAATAAAAATCATAAAACTTAATTGTGTAAACCGAAGATTACAAAAAAAAGTTTGATTAATATTCTTACACTACTCAAAAGTGACAAATCAGTTATGATAAATATTTAATTATTTTTTAGCTCATCTGGTTCTGTATGTTTTTCTTTTACTCAAAAAAAATTTATTTATTAAATTTTCATATTTTTTGTAGCTTTTTCAAAGTTGAAAAACTTTGATTCTCCTAAAAAAAACATTACCAAACTAGAAAATAATTTTACAAATAGCCAATTTAAAAACCACTACAATGTAGATTCTCCTAAAATAATTTCATGTGATATTGCTGAAAATTTAATAGAAAAAAATTCAAGTGATGTAAATTATACTCACAATTTAAAACAATGTACAACAAACAATGATGTTCAATATAGTGAGAACACTACTATGTTTTGCTCTTCTGCTTTATTTATTAGGTAAGCTACTAATTTGAATGATATAATATTATTAATTAATAACATTTGTTTTTAATAGAGATCATAAGAACACTACACGTGAAGGTGGTTATTTTACATTAACATCTGTTGAAGGATTCTTTGAAAATTGTACATCTGAAAATAATCTTATAATAAATCCTGTGGACCTTTCAAAGTATATTATTTTAAACAATGAAAAACAAAATGTGAATGACAGTTTAAATTTGAATATGTCTCCTAATATATCTAAAGTAGTTTATTGCAATGAAGCTTTATCTCAAGATAAATGTAACCAATCAAATAGTCAAAATAGTGGTAGAATTTTTATTCAATGATTTTAATATTATAATATTAGTATAAATGAATAAATCAATTTATTCTAATTAAATATATAAATTTCATACCATTAAATTAACTGAATTAACTCTTCTATTATATAGATTCTTTTAAAGCTCTTGATATTGGTGATGTTTGTATTGGAACATATTCTCAAGCAGTAATAACATTAGAAAATAGATTAAATAAAAATACCAAATTTACATTGTACTTGCTGGAAGTGGTACTCAATCATGCAAATACAGATTATTTTTTTGAAAATGATAATGTCTCACCAAAAACTGCAATTGTTCTTTGCTCCAAAAAATCTATTAACATATCATCTTTATCAGAAGCCAAAATTATTGTATAAAATAAAAAATATATACACCTGAAAATGAATTATTTTATATGTATTTTTTTTAGATTGGAATTATTCCTCTAGTAGTTGGAAATATAAATGTTTACATAAGGCTTATGAGTGAAGACACATCTCAAGAAATTAATCGAAAAATAACAGTTCAATCTGTTGAGCCACAGGTAATTTTTATTTTGAATTTTTGTAGAAGGATCCAATAATTTATAACACAAAAATTTTAATTAAACTCAAAAACTTAAGAAAAATTTCATAAATACCATTATAGTATATTTTTTAAAGTATTGAAAATATTAGGTTTTTTGTTTTCTCAATTTACAAAATCCGTTATAATTTAGTATATATAAACCTTATTTTATTAATCTATCAAATGTATTAAATTAATTTTTAGTTTAGTCTTATTTCATAAATTTAACAAAATAGTTTGATTATCAATTAGTTATATAATTATTAAATATTTTTTTAAATATTAACTTTTTTCAATTTTATAATAATACTACATATTAGTATAGTGGTTATGCATGTTATTTCACAATATTTTTTTACACTTTAGAGCAACAGTATTTATATTAATGCAATGTTAGGTATCAAATATTTTGGTAAGGAATAGTTCCATTAATGTAATACAATATAAAAATGAAAATATGTCTTTTTTCAGATATCATGGCTAAATAACTATTGTGGTTCAATAGACTTTGGTGTATTATTAGAAGAGTCTAAAAAGTCTGAACCCATTGAACTGGTTAATGTTGGAAATTATCAAGTTCCAATAAAACTGATACTCAATCAGGTAAGTTTTGCAATAAATAATGATTTATTTAATAAAATTAAGTAATTATTATGATCATAATGATACAATATGTGCATACATTATGTATAGAGTATGAAAGTAAGATGTTTACAATTTTTTAATAGAGCTATTCAAAGTTTAATTTTAGCTCGAAAGAATTATGACTTAAATAGAATTCACAGTCAATTTATATATTTGAATTTGAATGTAGATTTATTATACCTAGTACATATAGATTTCTTTTAATATATTTATATTTTTTACAATATTTTACATTTTCACAATATTAAATCCATGCATTAGAATTAAGATATTGTTCTTCTGAATAAAATCCAATAAAAGAATGAAGAAAGACTCACTATAAAAACTTAGTTTTTACAAAATATATTTTCATAATTTATTAAATTGTCATTAAAATATCTTTAAGAAAAATTAAATTAAAGTAGTATATAAAACTAAAAAATTTGTATCATCTTATAGGAAGATTCTAGTGATATTATTCAAATAAAAGCCGTTATCAAACCTACAGAATTATGGAAGTGTAATGTAAATTTCATTACATCTATACTTCCCTATGATACAATAAAAAAATCAATCGCTGGTCGACTTCGTATAACTTTGGATTCAGTAGAAGAGCTAATGACTACTTATTCTCCATTGCTATATTCTTCAAATCTATGTGGGAGTATAATTCAAACATCAATAATATTTGACCAAAATCCTTTAGTTTTAAAAAAACAAGGATCTTCACTAATGGGTGGTATTGTAGAAGTTAAAAATAATTCCTTACAGCCAATCAGCTTATTTATTAAGTTAAAACATGAAAAATGTTCATTACTGACAATTAGCCCCAATAAATTACAGTTGGAAGAAAATGAGAAAGCCAAAGTTAACATTTATTGCCAATTATCATCAAAGTTGTATGGTTTTAAGTAAGTTCTACATTAGTAGTTCAAATCTACCCTTTATAATGGTAATATGAAGTACATTAATAAAATTATAAATTAACTATATACTGAACAAAAAAAAGAACATAAACCCTAGTTTTTATAAAATATTCATTTGAGGTCTTTAAAATTTTTTGCTTTTTACTATATGGGTGATTAATTTATTGTTGGTCACTAGATTTTTTTTAAAATTATAATAATTTTTGTTTATTTAAGTAATATTTATTTATTAATTTTTAAGAGATTAAATACTTTTTATGTCCATCCCTTATACCTAATAAGGGTACCAACTTTATTTTTATTTTCTTTAAGTATATACTATTAGAATTCGTATATTGTCATATTCTGAAAAAAAAAAAAATAAATATGTTCACTAAAAATTGGTAAAATAGTTCAGATTTTTGCATTTATGTGCACTAAAAAAAAAAAATTATGTACTTAAAATATCCAAAGTAAAAAAAATCATAGGTTAATTTTGAAATAATAAAAAGTATTCATTAATTTTGGTTATAGTATAGTGCATTTTTATAGTATATAAAAATTGTAATTTTTAATGAAATAATATATTTATAGTATTACTAATCATAAATACGTATTTAGTCAGATTATAATTTTATTTTAAATGTTTACTACCATTTTACTATTTCAATAATTTTAGAATTTTTATTTTGATTTATTCTAACTTATTACAATTAATTACTTGAAATTTTAACTAACTTAGTGACGAAGAAATAGTTTTTCAAGTTTTATCTTCAAAAAAGCAATTTAATTTACATGTCAATGCACAAATAAATGACTCAAAGTTTGATATGGGTAAGTAACAAATATTTGCCATGAACAGTAAATTTAAATTACTTAATACTGTAACAAAATTACTTTTCAGTAACTTTATTTCTTTTTTAAATTTCAAGTTACTTTTAAGTTATTAGAAAAAATGATAGGTTCAATTGTTATTTTATAAAATCATTTTTTTCATACAAATTATAATTCATATGTGTAACTATGATTACTGCCTTTAAAATGTCTTCAGTTATGGAGGGTTTTCTAATCTCCATACTCCCTCAGATTCTACTATGTACAATGCTAATTTTGTTGTAATAATACTGACAAAATTTGTGAAAAAATTATGTCACTGGCACTTTTTGCATTGTCACAGATATATATTAATCACAGAGTGATTAATTTATCATTGACAAGATTTATGAAATAACAATTTTGAAAAATAATATTTTGTTTATATTATTTATTTTGATGTTAGTGATTAGGTATTTTTAGGTTCATCCTTTATCTTAAGGGTACCAACTTAATTTTTTTTAATAGTAAAATTCATATTTTAATATATTTAATGTTATTAATTAGTCTAACTAAGAAAATTACTGAATGATAATAATTTTTAACCAGTATTTTGGAAGTTATTAATATTTTTTATTTAAATTGGAAATAAGGTGCGGCTTATGCTATTATCATTACATATCTGTTGTACTTATTCTACCAAGCAGGTATAAAAAAATGTATAACCTCTATAATTCTAGTTTAATAGTTGTTATGAAGTAGTTATTTTTTTAGATTGGTCATTTTCTACTGTCAAATCTCTTAAAAGATTTAGGTTGTAATTAAAAAAAAAAAGTTAGTTCCCTTATAAAGGATAACCCTTCAAAAATACGAGGTGTGTACAGAAAATAACGGGAATTTTCGTTTTTTTTTTAAATATTTATTTATTTATATTAATGATGTCGTCTTCTAAAAAGCCCCATTAGATTCTATGCACTTCTAATCCTTGAAACACTTCTCAAACTTGATTACTGGGATAGCCTTCAGCTCATTTAGCGGTGTGCTTTTAATGCCATCTATACTAGTATAACAACATCCCTTTAAGTTTCTTTTTATTTTTTGGAAATAGAAAAAAGTCGAACTAGTAGGTTGTACTTCTTATAATTCGTTTATGGCAAGAATTCATGATGCACTGTGCCATTAAAATCGAAGAACCATAACTTAACAAGCCTTTTTCGGTATTGGCAATTCAGAATGCTTCTATTTGGATGATTGAGCCCTAGTTTTAACGTCGATCCATATTCCCATGTTTCGTCATATGTTATAACACGTTTCAGTAATTCTGCATCGTTGTTGATTTCATTAAGTTACTCCTGGGCAACTTTTATTCGTCGCTGTTTTTGTTCATAATTCAACAATTTTGGAAAAAATTTTCAAAAAACGCGTTTCTTACCAAAACATTTGGAAAATTTTCATGCATGAACCAATCGCTATTGCAACATCATCAAAGACTTCCATGATTGTCATTCGGCGATTGTTTGTAACCATGTCTTTCACTTTATCCACGTTTTCATCTGTTGATGTGATTGTGCGTTCGTCATCTTCAACGTCTTCACGGCTATCTTGGAAACGATTATATCACACGTAAACCCTTGTTTTACTCATTGCAAACTCACAATAGGCCTTTGTTAACATTTTATTTTATATGCAAAATTTAATACAAATCCTTTGATCCATTTTTTTTAACAAATGAAAATCAACGCGCTTATAAAAACACGTCTAACCTTAACGGCTACTACTGACAAAGTAAATGATTAATCCAGCTGAAAATTTTATCATACTTTAGGGACGTGTGTACAAACATTATGAAAAATAAATTTTGATAATCAAACTCTAAACCTGGGAAATTTAAAAATTCCCGTTATTTTCTGAACACACCTCATATTTACGATATATCAATCAAAAAATAAATACTAAAAAATTCTCAAAATCATTTTTTTAGAAGAAATTTTGTGTTGAAATATAAACTAATAATCTTATATATATATATATATGTATATTAACCTAAAAAATGACTAATTATTTTTTTGTAATTAAGTAACGCTATTACATTTAATAATATCTATCAAGACTTATATTTGAATTAATTTTAGAATAGTTGTAATTTTAATAAATTTTAAAATTAATTTGCAAGATTTCAAATATATTCTAATCAAACATGAATACTAAAAAAAAAAAAATGTCAACATTTTAGCTGATTTGCAGTCAAATACTTTATCTTCGCGTCCCATGTCTCCCTGGAGTACTACCTCATCCAGTGCAGCAAGTTAGATTTTTTATTAAAAATCAATAGTATCATATTAAACAACTTTAATATTAAATTTTAGTTGGACAACTTGAATTGGAGTCTACTAGTTCAAACCTTGTATGGGGAAGTGTAACACCCAACACAAAATCTGTACAAACATTTACATTGCGTAACCGTGGAACACATAAAGAAAAGCTAAGACTATTTATTAAAGATAACAAAAATTGTTTTAAAGTACTACTTTCGAAATTTAATTAATTTTTCTAATTTTGTGAATAAATGTATTGTATGTAATTTTAGTTTATAAATACTGGTGAAAATCAAGTATCTGAGATGAAATTATTGTTGGAGCCCATGGAAAGTCAAAAAGTTAGTGTTGTTCTTATATCCACTTCAAATGAAGGTGAAGCTTATGGTCAAATTGTACTTCAAAGACAATGTAATGTTAATGATAAAAAAGTGGTTAGTAATAATTATACTAATTTTATTAATGGACAATTTGTATTTGAATATACTGAATAATATTTTAGATTTCTTTGTATGGCTACTGTGGTTATTCTGATATTATTATTCAAGGCGTATTTGAGGATAACATTGGTCATATGTGGCTTTATCCTAATGCACAGCTAATGTCTGCAAAATTTACTGTAATTAACTCAGGAAATACAACGGCTTTTGTTAAAATTATTCCAGGTATAAATTTTAGTGTTATTGATTAAATTAATCTTTTAATAAAAATAATTTTATTTTCAGAAAATTCTACTGAAGATATAATTCAACCAAATGAATTCATCCTAAAAAAAAGTCAAAAAATTATTGTCAATATTTCTGTGAATATGACTCCTGAAAGGCTTGAAATTTTACTCGATCAAGATAATAATTCAAAATTTCTCAACATAAATAATTTATCTCTTATTTATGGAGATGAAGTTACACGTGTTCGTGTATCAAGGTTAATATTTTTAGGATAATATAATTTTGTTATCCATACATATAGGGGTTATTTTTTACTTTTTAGATATCATATATATATATACTACTTGATAGTACTTACTGAAAAAAAAATGTTCTTGTAAAATTTAAATGTTCATGTTCTGTTTAATGAGCCCATGTATAATTTTTATGGAGTTTGAATAATAAATTTTTAAAGTAAAACTTCTTTACAGAGGGTCTGAAAAAAAAAGATTATCGAGCATCAAGGTTGGGCATGGTCGGCTGTAAAGTATATTTTATATTATAATTTAACACTGTATTTTCGAAAATTAAAGTAATTTAATTTAAAATGCATTAAATAATTTTGATTATGCATAAAAAATTTTTAAAGAATCACAATAGATGCAATTTTTATGCGATATCTTCATAATGAAAGAAGTTTTACTTCATCCGCCGATACTTGTAACAAGCACTGTTTATTCGATTGTCTATGTATATTTTTTAAAATCAGTATTATGCCTTACAGTTAAAAAAATGATTTAAATCACTAATGTTATACAAAGTGATTTATTTATCATCAAATACCTAATTAGTCAAAAATAAAAATAAAATTGAGAATTATTATTATATTTTGGTTGCTTTCAGTACATATTGTTCATAATTTATTTCATACAGTATTTTTTATGTTCATCTCATATACTTTTTAAAGGTGCAAACTTTATTTTTTCAGATACATAATTAACTAGTTTATTTAATAGATAATGGTTTAATTAAGTAAAATGCTGGTTGATAACAACTTTTGGACCAGTATTTTGAAAGTTATTAGTATATTATTTTTATAGCCTTATTCCTCCCATCTAGGTATAAAAATGTCAATAATATTAAATAAACTAGTTAATTAAAAATGTTACCATTTAAAAAAATGGAGTTGATACTATTATAAGATATAAGGAATAAACACAAAGAATACTGTATGGTTGTTAATTTGAGAAGAACATGTACATAAAATAAACTAAAAGAATTTTTAATACTAATTTTATTTTTCGATTATTAAGTAGTTCATGATAAATGTATAATCTGTATAATATATTTATTTTTTATATATTCAAGATTTTTATTTACATAATTTATTATAAATTATTTAATTAGGATATGGCAAGCAATAAAAAAAGGCAATCAAATACCTGTGTATCCAAGTAAACAAAGATTAAATGATGTATCTAGTATGTTCAATAATGTTTACTTTGTTGATGTAAATCATGTAGCTGATTCAGAGGTAACTTTTTTTATATGGTTAAATTATTATTATTCTATTTTATTCTTAATTCAATTTATTTGTGGTATTTATTTTAATTAAATGACTGAGGTATTTTAAAGATAGACTTTAATTTTATAGATACTTATAAACATTTTCTGTGTAATCTTATATTGTAAGACTCATACTTAATTAAAAAATGAGAAAATTAGAGAAGATTTTTAATAGCTTGTATTGTGTTTACAGTGTGTAGGTTTAATACAGTTACATTAAGTTATTTAGGTTTTCTAGTCTTCTACTTATAAACTATTTCAGATGTAAAAATTTTATCTTATGACAAAATTATCAAATGATTTATTGTAAGTCCTATAATAATAATATAAGTCAAATTTCTATTATTTTATTTATTCAAACTTATGTAAAAATTTAAATTTTATTATTTTAAATAATTAATATTTAAACCATGATATAAGATTAATAATAAATACTATTTGAGGTTTTTAAGTAATTAAATTTTTGTGTTTAGTATAATATTCAAATTTTGTAACTTATGTTGTTTTTAAAATAATGATTTATCATTAGTAAGAAAATGAGATGCCTTAATAATAAATAAATTGAAAAGCTAGTTACAAGAAAATGCATTTTAATGAAATATCCTATTTTCTTTAAATGTATTTTTAAATCTAGTGAATATTTGATAAAAATCATACATATGAGCTATACACAGAAAAATGTTTAGTATGATAACGCAACACAGATATGCCTTTATTGCATAGAATACTGATTTCTTTCTAATTTTCCTTGAATAATTCAGGTAACATTAGTATAGTTATTGTTAGTATTATTATTTGTATACCTCAGAATTAGATTAAAAATTATATACTACTATAAAGTTATTATATTTTATTCCATTAAATTAAAATGAAATATTAAATACTGCTTGATGCTATAAGAGCATTTTAATAACTTAATATATTGTTTAATTATAACATTGTTAATACAAATTGAAACAAAACAATACTATAGTTATTTTCTTTAAAAGTCTATCTTTCATATGATGCTAATAATATTACTATATAACTAGTACCATTAAATTCGCTGAGATTTAGATATTTTAAAGTTGGTTAGTATAAAAATATATTTTTCTTGGAAATGCCCTAGCCCTTTAACTAATAGTTATGAATTTTTTTAATTAAATAATTGAAAAAATTTTCAGAAAGCATTATTTAAATTATGGAAAACAGGCATAAATGAAATTAATATCGGAGTTCTAATGGAAAAAAACAATTTGGAGTCCTTATTGTGTGAAACAACAACAGTGTTTAATGATTTAGAAACTACTGTGTAAGAATTCAATAAAATATTTAATGATTCACTATCACAACATAAAAATAATTTAAGATTTATTCATTTAAATTCATACAAATAAGAACAATAGTATTTATAGTTTCAAAATTTAAAATTTCATTATAATTTTGTTTTAGGATTAATAAACTGGAAATATAAAAATAAAACAAGAAGACACTCAAGAACTTGAGTTTGGTAGTATTGTTTCATGCATATAATTTATAAGTTAATTATATTTTGTACTATATATTTATAAGACTACATCTATGATCTCTATGTTAATTTTAAAATATATTTTAATTTTTATTAAATGATTTTAGTGTTTTTATTTTATCATAAAATGTAACTATTTTATTCCTTAAAGTTCAGTTAACTTACTATAATAGATAAATGTACAGTTGTGTTGGATCCTAATAAAAAAAAATTATTAAAGTTGATTCTTTTAGCTTTAAGTTTTTTTTTTTTTATTGTAAAAATTTGTATTTTCTCAGATAGACTATCTTTCATTTTAAGTGCTTCGTTAAATAAATATTAAATGTATAATCATTACCAGTATGAGATTCACTTGCTTACTTTGTACTAAATGAATAATTATTTAATATCATATAATATTATATAAAAAATTAATTATTTTTATGAATATTTTTAAAGGGATATGATTTATAATTTTTTAATTACTAATAATATATATATATTAAATTAATTTTTAATGAATATTAAATGCTTTATTTATCAATAAATGAAATTTCATAAATGTACTTTTTTAGATAACACTTTGTGTATTTCAGCTTAGAATTATTTAACCCTCAAAATGAGGCTATCATTAAAAATGTATTGACATTTAATGCAATTCAATATAATAAAATGTACAGTACTTTAAATAATATAAGTAATTTTAACAAATATTATAATTTTCTGAAATTTTTAGATTATTTTAGACCTCTTTTACTAATACCATCCAAGATTCATCATCATCTACAGCCACTCCTTTTTAATGATGCCAAATTCTTCAGTAAAACAAAGACGCACAGTTTATGAGTTCCAGGATATTTTCAAAATATTGTTTCTTTGGGCGTCCTCTTAGTTTCTTCCCAGTTATTTTTCCTTCGAGGAAGTTGATTATAAAGTCATTGTGTTGGATGACGTGTTCAATTAACTTTATTTTTAAAAAAAATTTGTTTTTAATCATCTCATAACTTAGTGCCAACTTTATTTTTAAATGGCATCATACATAATTAACCCTGTTTATTTGATAGATAAATGATTTAATTAAGAAAATGACTGGTCGATAAAAACTTTTGGATAAGTACTTCAGAAATTATTCTTATTGTTGTACCTAGGCAGGAGGAAAAGTACAAAAGAGAAATGACCAGTAATATATCAGCATTTAAGCCTCACCTTTATTTAATTACTTCAAATTGTTAATAACTCCTGAAATACTGATCCATAAGTTATTGACCAGTCATTTTCTATTTTATAAGCTAATTAAATATATATGTTGACATTTAAAAGATTAAGTTGAAACCCCTACAAGTGTTAAGGATGATATTAATTAATAGTTGATAAATATATATAACTAAAAAAACCAAATATTTTTTTTTCAATTACGTATTTGTATGGCGAGTTATCATGTGGCTTAGGATAAACCAATCATTCTGTATAACTCAATATAAAAATGTCATCTCAAAGCTTAAGTTTTAGAGTTATTTCAAAATCATTTAAGCTAAATGAAACTATTACAATAATGAAAATTATTAGCTATATTGAAGAAAATGTAACTTTTGAAAAAATAATATTTTAATCATTAAGTTAGAACCATAGACATGCATCATGTAAAATCTTAAGGGAGCCATGAATAATCTATCAAAGTAAAATCAGTATAGGCTAACTTAAGAATACAAATAAAAAATCTTTGATTTTGGAGGGGCTTTTGAAGTTTTAATGACTATGTCCTACTACGATTACACTCAGTTATCCAGTCAGTCACCTTTACCCTACGGTTGAGTCTAACTAATTTTCAGTAAAAATTAAAGCATTTTAACATTGTCTTAATTTTTTTTTAATTGAATTAGAATAGTTTTTAAGGGTGGCAAATTTATATTGCTATATTTATATTTATAAGATCAAAATCTTAAATATGCTTTTAATTAACTACCAAATAAATTTTGTAAATTTTAAGTTTTTATTTACATTAATTGATATTTTTTACTTAAACTCAACAATATTTGTAGTTTGGATTATTTATTGGAAAAAAAAACAAGTATTTATTTTATATCACGTTATTCAATTAATAGATTTTAATGTAAAAAAAAAAAAAAAAAAGATAATAAAACAAATAGGAATTAATTTCTAGCCTTACTCAATTATTATAAAAGCAACCATAATAATTGGCATAATTTACTTTAACATTACTGTCTCTTAACAATGTGGTTTAAAAGTATAAAAAATGAATTTTATCTAAATTTTTATAGAAATTTTAATATAAATATATATTTTTTTCTTGATATTTATGGGATTTAATTAGCATAATAAACCACATATACTATGTATGATATAAATTAAAAATAGGAAAAATTTAAGTATCTGTACAATTCATTGGGAAAATTAAGTTTAATAAACAAATAATGGAAGTTTTTTAAAATAAAATACAGGCAGAGTTTATTTAAATAATTCAATGCTTCGTGTAAGGTAGGTAATTGATTAATTGAGACAGTTAACAAAATAAATTGTTGATTGTACAGACTTTTATTATAAGTCTTCATCCTCGTCAGGCAATGCTGTTTCTTGAGCCTCCTAAAATGATAATTATATATAAATGTGGTAAAATAATTATATTTAAATAATGTACCTTGAGGTCTTGTTCAATTTGATCTTGCCATTGTGGGTCCATTTTAATTTCGGGAGGTACAAGAGCTGGCATAGCTACAAATTCAAGGTTGGGATCACCAATAAGTTTTCTAGCCATCCACAAGAAAGGTTTTTCAAAGTTGTAGTTACTCTTTGCACTTATGTCATAATACTATAAAATATTTCTCATTTAACATACATTTTATATTAAGTAGTTTTTTCTATTTTTTTTTTTTATAAATTAACATAAGACAACAAGTACCTGTAAATTTTTCTTACGATGGAAAACTATTGTTTTAGCTTTCACTTTTCTATCTTTGATGTCAACTTTATTGCCACACAGTACAATTGGAATACCCTCGCAAACTCTTACTAAGTCTCGATGCCAATTGGGAACATTCTTATATGTAATACGGCTAGTAACGTCAAACATGATAATAGCACATTGTCCCTAAAATTATTTTAAGTTAAACTATTTCATTAAATAGCTGTCATTACTGTATTAGTTATTATTAAGTTATATTAATTAAATTTTGAATGTAATAAATATCTATAGTGTTAATATTTTGAATAAAATTACTTGAATATAATAACCATCACGTAGTCCTCCAAATTTTTCTTGTCCTGCAGTATCCCAAACATTAAATCGTATAACACCACGAGTTGTATGAAATACCAGAGGATGAACTTCTACACCTAAAGTAGCAACATATTTTTTTTCAAATTCACCAGTTAAATGACGTTTGACAAAAGTTGTTTTTCCAGTTCCTCCATCACCAACTAATACACATTTGAATGTTGGTACATCATCAGGGACATTCATTATAATTTATATCTAAAAAGTTAAAAGCTTATTATAATAGAATAATATTTTACACAAAAGAAAATTATTTAATAAGGTAAACAACTCTTATTTTACTATTACAATAAAATTCACTTAATACATACAATTATACTTAATAAAAAATTCAAACAGAAGTTGTAGTATAAAGAATTTCTTTGTTTAAGACAATAGAAAGTTAAAGATAAAATGTTTTACACACCTTCATTTTAAGTATAGTAGTGAAGTTATATTAATGAATACTTATCTATTTATTGTTTTAGCTTTAACCCTTTCAGTCCTGACACCAGAAAAAATGAATATAATCCAGTGTGTTTTTCACAGGCTATTTAATTATGAAGCAAACAAGTACTAAATTTTTTTTTTTTTTTTTGAAACCCTATTCCTCTCCTTTTTTGACCGGGACTTATTTGTTTCGTTTACATTTTTATTTGAAATTCTTATTACAAGTGGGCCTTAGATGTCCCGACCGGACGGTTGATACGATAATAGTAACCATTTACTTTATATAAGCAATTTTCGAGCTGGGATTAAGATGTCCCACCCGTCCTGAAAGGGTTAAGTATTACTCTTATAAGTTAGGTAATGTTTTAAAATATGGAATTTATTAAAAAAATTCAGTATGTATTATAAGCTCTGATAGTTATTGATTTGATGGACTTATTCATGAAATTTGTTGATGTTTATATATTAGAGAAATAACCTATCATGTAAAGTTAATCAAATAATTATAAAATAGTATTAATGTATATGTTATGTGTTTACATAATCATATATAATTGATATACATTCATAAAAAAAAAAAAATTCATTTAAAATGATCGAAAATTAATTTGATAAAATTAATATAATTTTGATGAACGAATTAAATTGTGCGATCTTTCAGATTTCAATGCCAAAATGGAAAATTGCTAACAAGATATGCACATAACCTAAATAATTGGAGAATTAAAACGATGCGATAAATTTATAAAACAAAATAGTCAATTACTAATAACGGAGAAATCACAGCATTTATAATTTACTTAATTGAATTTTTGACATACATTTAACACATATTAATTACAAAATAAAATAATACATAAAATAATCACATGGCAAATTGGCACTTGGGAAATAAAATACCTCAATTATTGTTTCCTAACTAATTTAAGGCTTCATTAATAAAATATATATAAACCCACATTATACTTTTATTACCATTCATCACGTACGTAAATCTTGAAAAAGTAAAAGCGGGAAAAAAAGACAAGAATGGTGTAACACAAATCAAATTTTTTAGTGTCTTTAACGTATAAACGCGCTCGTTTTATTATAATATGTAAAAATATTCACTTACGTGGTTACTTAAGTTGAGTTGCAAAAGTATAACGTTTTACGAGTGATCTATATAATATTCAACAAAGATTTTAGGAGTTATAAGTTACAACGGATTTCAACGGTCTCTTGACAGTTGACAATAACCAAAAAACTTGCGGTGCGGGGTTATTGGATAATAGCTTACTAACCGTATGAAATGGCGACGAGAGGCGGTAGGCGCTGCTACTATCACAAATTTACGTCAGGAGTTACAACCTTAGATCTAAGGTAACAACCCGCGCCGGAACCGCCGTAAATGCCAGTATGACCATATTGAGGTCGAATTTCAATACAGTGTTACCTATAGTTATAATTTAAATATTTTGGCGGCAAATTTACGCACCAAAATATATAATATAATTTCTTAAATATAGACTTTTAATTAATGATATCAATAAATGTATAGGTGATCCATTTATCATAATCCACTCAAATCAAGGCTGTATTTAGGAATTGTGCCACCCAGGGTAATGAATTCTGTCGTTCGGGGCCCCAGTGCCCCCTTTAGATGAGGTCCTCATTTCATTACTAACAAAATAAATTTTTTATTATTTCTTATTGTATATATTTCTTGATTTATCATTTATTAATATTTTTTAACATCCTGTCTTTTAATAATTATAATAGAAAATAAATTATTTATAAGAATGTTAATTTCATTTTTTAAAATGGCAACATAACATATTAAACTAGCTTATAGAATAACAAATGATATAATTTAGGAAATGACAAATCAATAAATACTTTTGAATAAGTAGTTCGAGACTTATGATTATTTTAAAATGTAAGCCGAAGGCACGGATATTAAACTTAATATCATTAGATATTTCACAGTCGTATTATATTTTACAGTCCGCTCATGTATAAAAATGTTAATAAATTCAGAAGTACTTGACCGAAAGTTGTTATTTTCTTAATAGATAATTACAATATGTGAATAATATACTAGGATATATATAATTTTATAATTATTAACATAAAAACAAAAATAGTCTTACTACAAATTATAAAATTGTGATTTTATTAAATCAAAATACTTATTGTAACATTAATCCTTTTAATTAACATTTAAGATTAATAATTATCCAAGAAAATATAACATTTTTCAAGCATAAATTATTTAATTTTCATTCGAAGAATAGATGTTATTTTAAACGTTCGATGTATAAGCAGCATTCTTTCTTTTCTACTTTCACCAACAATTAGTCATTTCTAAGAGCATACTAAAACTTTTAAGGTTCTAAGAGATACAATTAATTTATGCTATCTTCATAGAATACATTACTCAGACAAAGAAAATCAAAATTGACGTCTAAAATTTTTAAATACTCACATTTTGAATAGTAAAATTTTTTTTTTCGCAAAGTATTCATAATTGTGTTATAAATAAAAAAAACATCGGTTAATTATACTTAAAAGTTAATTTTAATATTAAAATATTGCTATTTAGAATAACTAAAAACCTTGTGGTAACCACGAGATTTCAATTTTTTGGTCAAATTATTTTTTGTGTAATCAAATATAAAAAAAAAAATCTGCATCCATACGTGCCTATTTTATTTAAATCTAAATAACGCAATTTAAATAAATAAATATTATGTATATATATATATATATATATATATATATATATATATGTATATAAATTGTATAATTTAGATTTAATAAATTTTTCAGGTTAGTTGATAATTTAAAAAATTATTTACAGGAAATTAAGAAAATGATGGGAATTTTATGTTTTTATTAAAATTTGAGGCAGAATAAATAAAAAATGACTTATAAGTAAATGACTCATTAAGTAATAAATTACTACGTGTAATAAACGTGTTAAATTCGAATAAAGATTATAAGCATTAAATTCTACTTCTATAAATATTTTACAATTAAATTTTGGACTTAAGAAATGGAGAAAATAAAGACATTGCCACTTTAATTACAGGGGCTTCAGGAATGCTTTGTTGTGGGATCAACTATCGTAAATTTCTATTATTTTATGTTTTAAAGCATAAATAAATTTATTTTGAAATAAATGATGTAAGAATATGATAATTTTTTATTATAATTATGTGATGTTATTTTTGTTTATAATATAATAATCTTAATAATTATTAAGATAGTAGTAATATTTTAGATAATATTATAATACTATATAGTATTAAATAATAGTTATATAAAAATAGTTAGTATATATTACATGTTAAAGTAATACATTAGAGTAACTTAAAATATATAAGTTAGATGTCATGTATTTGATTTTGGAAGTGTGGTGAATTTTTAGCGTTCTAAATTCATTATTCATAATACTAAATTTTCCAAATTATATTGTGTTGGGTACAGCTTAAACTGGTGTATGAGCACTCTAATCACACTACATACCCATTCTATGTATTAAAACGTTGTAATGGATGAACATTTCATTGGATAAAAAAAATTGTAAGGACAAAATTGTATGTAATTCATTTTCTTATATATAAAGTTATTAAGTGGTTCCCATTTAAGAAATGTAAAGTTTTTTTAATCCTTGCGGGGTATGAAAAAATGAATAATTTAACTATATATTATTGTTGAGTTTTTTAAACTATACATTTTTTTTTTAAAAATTTAAATTTCTTAATAATTTTTGAAAAAATAAGTGTCTTATCCTTAATTGATCACGTGTAATATGTTCATATATGCATATTTTTATGATATTCCTTGGATACACAAGAAAATAAATAATTTAAAACAAGATTTATTGGAATTAATTGGGGTTGTTCTGTAACAGAACATAGTGATACTATATAACACGTTGGTTACACTGTTTTAGATTCGTTTTTGGTCCACGGAGCGCGCAGCCGCGCAATATAAAATATTTCACTTGTAATTCTACCGCTGACAGTGCTGTTGGTTGGAAATGTGTATTGATTTTTATCTCGTCCCTTTTTCGAGTTTTCCGCACGTTCTTCTGTATAGTAAAAAATTGAAATATTATTTTCTTGAGTTATTTTGATTTTTAGTTATCATAGGTATTCTTAGTGTTTATCGCCACTGCCGTTGTTTAATGATGTGTTTATGAGACTTAATCGTTTTTGGCTAGTCTTTGTATCCGTTCTGTGTTTCCATACTGTAAATAATGACTAAGGACAGGCTAGCAGCTCTAAAAGCGGTAAAATTTTTACTTTATATACATAATTCGACAGTTATTCATGCATGTTTTATTTAATCTTTAATTGGACAAAATTGTGATGATCTGTTTAATATAGCTTTATCAGAAATCTGTGTGACCACCCATAGTTTAATTTACATTAAATTATCTAGTTCTAAATTGTTTTTAATTATATTTAACATTAAATATCTAGTTAAAAACTTATTTTAGGTTTTGATCAATTGTAGGGAAAGAGCTTATGAAGTTAATGATTCCTTTTTTATTGCTATAGGAAATTTAAGATGGGTTGTAACTTCAAAAATCAGTTTAAATTAAAAGTGTAATATATTTTCAATGAGATTATAAAAAATTTTTTTTTAGTTTTAGTTTTTATATTTACTATAATTAGTCTATAATTATAAAAAAGTCTTGGTGTTTTCAAATCTTTTTATAATATCATTATAATGTATTGAAAGTTATCATATATTATGTGTTCTTTGATGGTTTTTATTATTTTTGTCATTATTTACTTATATATTGGAAAATCATTTTGAACTAATTGATAATAGTGATAACACACTTTTCCTTCATTGAGTATATTAATAATATTATGATTCGTGTTTTTGAAATCATTCTAATTTTGTAATTTTTAACATACTTTAGATATAGGAAATCAATTTTTCATTACACACGTTTTAAATTTAAAAAAATTTTTTTCAAAAAAAATTTGCATTTTAAAAAGAAATAACCATTATAAAGGTTGGACTTATAGTAATGTTTTATGAAATTTGATTAAATTTGTTATTAACATTTTTCTTATTTTTTTGGGTTAATTCTTCAGTTAAATAACTTTGAATTATAGAAAATAAGACATTTACCTTCTATAAATAGACTCTAATGCTGCATTTTGAATTCCTTAATATTTAAAGTAAGTTCTTAATTAAATTTGAATTATATTAATCTAATATCTAATATGACGGATGTATGAATACAAGTAGGTAGGTGGTTGATGATAATGTTAAATATAAATATTTGATATTAGTTTGTCTTAATTAATTTTTCCTTATGATGAATGTAAAGATTTTTTTATTTTAAATTTATTAATTTTTTTTGTAAAATTTAGAATATATCAATAACCATAATAATGATCAAATTAATAATGTAATGCAATTGCTTATAGATCTATTAAAATATTTTGAAATAAATAAATAATGGAAATGATTAATTTGTTAGTTAAAGATTTTATTTTTTTATTTCAGGCCCAAAGTGATGATGAAGAAGGAGGGGCTGATGATGTGGCTGTTAATATGGATGGGCGCCAAGACGGATCTGGGGCCGCATTCATGGATAAATTTTTTGAGGAGGTATATATTATTTAATATATAAAATTTGTTTGATTTATTGTTAAGTAAACAAAGTATTTTTATTCTATAGCAAAGTTAATTTAAAATATATTTATAAGTATCAATTAAAATTTATATGATTCTGGTGGTAAGCGAAGGAAAAATCTAATTTTTTTTTTAACTGTATGTCTTTTCAAATAGTGAAGTGAAGAGAATTGAAAAGGTTTTCAATATGGGTTGTAGTAAGTCTTTCTAAATTCCCGCTTACAAGTTTACAATAAGAATTTGTGAAATTATTTTGGGTCCAAAACTTAAACTTAACATATTTTTTTATGCTTTATCATAAAAATTTATAACTGCCAAACAGCTGTCTTAATCTGGCCATGCCAATACTTATGCTCCTGTCTATAAACTATTATAATTACTTAATTTAAATTAAGTATCAGTCATGCTATCTTATTATTGTATTAATATATACATATTCTTATTATATAATAGAACAAGGAAAAACACGCTTTTCTGGGAAAATTACTTAGCGTGCTTGGATTTTCAAAATTTTTTTTTTCAACAAAAGTACTTGATTACCAAACTCCGGGAAAATTATTGGCTAAGATCAGAAAATTTTTGCCGCTCACTTACGAGCATTTTAAATTTTCTACCGTCTTCGAGAAAAACGTTTGCTGACGCTAGCGTTTTACGACTAAAAGTTTGAAATTTTCATCAGACCCGCCCAATAACATTCCTGAGATATGATAAAAAAATCAATTCATTCATTTTTAACCGTTTTACGAAAGTACTCGGTCATCAGACTCTGTAAAATTATTGGTTTTAATATGCACATTGACTCATTTCTGCTCATACGTTTATCCTGACCCTTAATTATATGGTGCAATATGTATTTTTATTAGGACATTATTTTGCATTTGCACATAGCACTGTAATCAGTGGCCTTCTTATGATGATGGCCCAAAGAGGCATACGCGCTGAAGGCGCATAAGGCTTGTAGGGTCCCGGGTCTGGGGCGGAGCCTAATATATATATATATATATAATAAGCGTCATGGCCTATTTTATGTCCACCTCGATAAAAAATAAAACTAAAAAAATAGGCGTGGTGAATTATATTTTAATTTTTATAAATAATTTATTATCTGTGGTTACCTTTAGTATTTTAAGTAACTTTAGGACAGTTTTAATATGAGCAATTAGTTTAAATCCTCATAATGCACTATTGAAACAAAATATTTTAGTCATTTGTTATAAAATTTTATTATAAACTGAGTAATTCTGCTTTTAGACTTTTTTTCCTGTTATTAATGTTATTTTAAGATAAGAAACTTGTTCAAAGATAACACTACCGTTACTTAGTATGTATGGGTACAGTCAGATTAATATTATTAAGTGTCAACTTATATATTTAAACTGTAATTTGTTAAAAAAAATGTATGATCTTCTTATTTTTAATTTTAAATTGGAGGTATGAACAATGTTACATTATTTATTTTTATTAATGTATGTGTTAAATGATTATATTTTTTTTAGGTGGAAGGAATCCGAGGGATGATTGATAAAATACAAGGAAATGTAGAAGAAGTAAAGAAAAAACACAGTGCCATTTTATCAGCACCACAGACTGATGAGAGTAAGTTATATTTATGTATTTATAATTTAAAACAGTTGTAACATAAATTATACAATTTGTAAATTATATATTATTATAATTTTCAACTTATATATCTTTGCATGGTTTAATATTGCTTTACCAGTCCAACCAACTAAAACAATAACAATTTATATTATTAAAATATAAGTATTAATATTAATTAAATTTCATCAAATTCTTCTACATATTGTTTAAGTTTTCATATTTAAGTTAAAATATATAAAATAAAAATTTTACTGAAAATCCAAAAATATTTTAAAAATATTTATCTGTGAAACAAATGTGTTTTCATATTCTATAATTTTACATTAATATTATGTTCAATATCAATATATTTAAACAAAATATGTTCTCAAAATTTTAATCCTCATCCCTCAAGCTTATTAAAATATCCAAAATTATACTTAATATTGAGATATGAATTTATTTAGGATAATTCTAAAAATTATGAACATTTTTTCCTGGGTTATCAAGAGAAATAATTTATAGTATTAGCAGTACGTAAGAAAACACCCTAAAATATATTTGTGTATTATTGTAAAAATACTTAATTTTACCTATATAATTGTAATATAGAATCAGTGTTTAGTCTTGTTTGAAAATAAAAAGGCTTCAGTAAAAATCCCTTAGAAAGAAGCTCTATGTATGCTTATAACACATTGACCTATGAATCAGAATATAAAATTTGTATTCTTAATTTATAATAAATTTATAAACTTGTATTAATAAAGAATTTTTCGAGGTATTTTATCTTATTACTTGAGTGTCAATCCATGCCACATCAAATTATCCAGAAGTGGTTCTATGAGCAACTCATTTTTTTCTTAAATTTTTCGGGTTTATTCTTTATGCTATATTTAGATTAAAATAATTTTTTTTTATGACCTCCCCATTTTTATGGCTATCTCAATGTAAAAAATGTTAAAAGTAGTCTGAATGTTAAAAAAACAACAAATTATTCAATATTAACTTAATCAAATTAAAATTTTAGAATTGACTTTATAACTAAATTTATTGACTTAAAGTTTTCATTAAAAAAAAAAAAAAATTAATTATGTGAAATGACTTTCTAAAAATGGTGTTTTTCTGTATAAATTGGCGTTTTTGAGCTCAATTAAAACCATTATGAAGTTATTACTTTTTAGTGATTTTCAAATGTGGTATTGTATAGTGTATAAGATATGTTTCAACTAAACTTCAAATATTTAAAACAATTTTTTTGAGATTTAGAAATCTACAAAATTAGACATTTTATAAAAATACACATATTCTAGTTGCATTATTTCTGTTGAAGGATTTAATTTCAAAGAAATTTTGTTTATTTTTTGATCAGTTGTATTTTTTATTAAATTTATCATTTTTAATATTTTTTTCAGAGGTAAAACAAGAATTAGAAGATCTTATGGTGGATATTAAAAAAACTGCCAATAGAGTTCGTGCCAAACTCAAAGGTAATTATAGTTTTAAGATAAAAAAAAATAATTTTTTATTCTATTTTATTTCATAATAATTAAGTTATGTAAGTACATAACTAGTATTTAAGTACTTTGTCTATTTAAAAACTAATTTTTATTAAGATATTTGATAATTATGAAGTTTTATTTTAGCTTCTAATGAGTAACTGAGAAGCTGGTTTTATTTTGTCATATTTTTTTTTTTTATAACACACCATTACTCCGTTACTATAGTACAATTTTGTTTACCAATATGTCAATAAATTATAAAACATTTTTAGTTAAAGTTATCAGCACAAAATGTCCCAAAAAATTATAGTTTTTATAAAAAGAGTGCATTTTGATATTTTAATTTTAATTTTATAGTGTATTAAAGCCAAGAATCATACAATTTTCAATGTAAAAGACTGATTTTATATTTTTTTGTATATTAATGGAATTCTCGCATTATTTAAAATTCAAGCTTGTATAATGAGATATATAATTAATAAATGAAAAATATTCCAATGAATCGTCTTCTAGGAGTAATAAGCCTCTTAAATAAATAATAATGTAGTTTTTGTAAATATGATAAATTGTTTTTAATTTATTTCAAGTATGTATCAAATTCTTTGATGCATATTTTAATTACTGTCAGATATTAACCAATTCAGTTTTAAAATTGATTTAACTTTATATACGCTAAATCATGACTGTGCTTAAATTTTATTTTTATGATTCAATATATGCTATTTTTTTGATATTCGACTTTCCTTAATTGAGGCTCTTAAGTCAAATTTGTTGTAACTGTTTTTTTGGTTTCATTGTCTGTATCTGATATGCATTTATTTGATAAGGGTAGTCAATAAAATAATCTATGTAAAGTCTATTCTATTGGAAGTTAAAATTGTCCTCACTGAATATCTAATACTCCTGCAATTTAAAAAAGTTTTAGAAGTAATAAAAGATTCTTTTCCTTTGAAAGATATTGCTATTGTTACATAAAAATATTTTAATATAAAACCAACAAAATATCACTTAACTTTATAAATAATTGTTTAAGGAAAGAGAGTATTCTTTCTTCTTTTTACTTGCCTTAACCTCAACTACTTGGGATCGGTCATTTTTCCTCTCATTTGTTCTTGCCACATACATCTAAAATAGGACAATCCGCCTAAGTTTTGTTCAGAATTCCTCATACATTAAAAAAAAATTAACGCCTGCTATTGACCTTACACAACCTTATTAGTTGCCACTTACAACTGGCAGAGGGGCCGCAGAAGTATTCTTATCCCCTATCTATAGGGAGAGTTTAAGAAAAGATAGTGGTATATAAAAATTGTAGTACACTTGGGGGAACTTCTACCTTTATGTTTTAAACTATACCAGAGATATTGGCGTATCCACTAATTGATGTGGCACTATTTGGGTAACAAATATTAAGTTTTCTTCTCTTCAATACTTTTAATAATTTTCTAATTCTACCAGTTAATGTTCAACATTCCACATACATACTCTTACTTTTTATGTATCATTCTCACCAATACACAAGTTAAGCCTAAAGTTGAGTGATAATGTCCCTACATCGTTGACACTACAAGCGTTAGGTAAGTCTATACACATATTTGGTGAAATAGTTACTGCACAAGTTGTCCGGTTGGTATCAAAAAATTTAATCTTTAGAACTTCTTTGTCTTTATTATCTCTCACCTGTTGTTCTCATGTACATCTGAGATAGGATAGTGTGCTTAAGTTCTGTTCTGAGATTCCTCAAACTTTTTGACAAAATTTTAGAGTACGTCAGGGCTATTGATCTGACATATCTTTATTAGTTGCCTCTTACAATTGGCAGAGTGTCCATGGAAGTATTTTTATCTTCCACGGGGAATAAATTATGGATACTGTGTAAAAAATTATTTTTTGTAATATTAGAAGTGTTTCTGCATTCACATTTATAACTAAAATTTCATATTAGAAATCGAACAGAATATTGAAACTGAAGAGCAATCGAACAAATCATCAGCCGATTTAAGAATACGTAAAACACAACATTCAACATTATCACGTAAATTTGTGGAGGTGATGACTGAATATAACCGCACACAAACTGATTACAGAGAACGATGTAAAGGTCGTATTCAAAGACAGTTAGAAATTAGTAAGTAATTTTAACTATTCTATGCATATATATTAGCAATTTTGAATAAAGTAAATTATTCTCATAAGTCAACATCAACATTATTTAAATACTAATTACAATATTTATATTTGTATTTAAAAAATTACATTTTATTATATTTTTAGCTGGTAGAACTACAACTAATGAAGAACTTGAAGAGATGTTAGAACAAGGAAATCCAGCTGTGTTTACGCAAGGGGTATTTCTTAATAATATTTTATTTTTGTGTATACATTGAAACATACATTTTTCTTTAGATTATAATGGAAACACAACAAGCTCGACAAACACTAGCTGATATAGAAGCTAGACATGCTGATATCATAAAGCTTGAAAATTCTATTAGAGAGCTTCATGACATGTTTATGGATATGGCTATGCTAGTTGAAAATCAGGTATAAATTTGAATGGATGATTTTGTGTTTAAGTACTAATGATAAAAACATTAAAATGTTAAAAACACTAATATACTTTTGTCTTAAATCTGATAAAAGTGTATATAATTTTTTTTAGAAAAAATGTAATTTATTTAAAAAAAAAATTATGAATTAGCCTTTTTTTAAAGCTATCAAGCAGATAGTAAAAAATAAATAAAGTTTAGCTATGAAAGAAGAATCAAAAGCTAATATATGTTTTTTTTTTAAACATAAGCTTCCTTAAAAACTGTTAAATATTTTTTTTAATTATTTAAGCAATTACTATATATTTTATTTTTTTGATATACATATTTGTTATGCTTTTAATTAATATGTATAATTTATACATTTAAACTGTTCTTTATTTAAAAATTCATAATATAGTTAAAATTTAAAAATAAATAAAAACTAGGGCGAAATGATTGATCGAATTGAGTATCATGTTGAACATGCCGTGGATTATGTGCAAACGGCTACACAAGATACTAAAAAAGCATTAAAATATCAGAGTAAAGCGAGAAGAGTAAGTCAAAAGGCTTAAATTATGGCAGAAATTTGTATTGATTCTGCTCGCTTTGCCGTTTGAATTTTTTTATTTTTATAGGTAGTTAAAAATTGTATTGATTTTGTATTTAGTAGTTTTTTTTTGCTTATTTTGGTAAATTATTGTTAGAATATTGTTTGAAAAATGGTAGCTGTATATTATTGTAAGTATTAATTATATGCATTTGATTTTTATTTTTGGCAATCTCTGCTTGATTTAAAAAAATTATCACCTTTATTTAACATATTCTGTTCTTAAATAAAATTCCAAATTTATATTCAATATCCATCCTACATATTGCCAAAAAATAGGGTGAACTTGTTGATAGAATAGAGTACCACGTATCATTCACTGTTGAAAAAGTGGCTGAAGGCAAAAAAGAACTTTTAGTTGCTGAAGAGTATCATAAAAAAGCTGAAAAAGTAAGTTAAATGAATGATAAAAACTTATGCTAATCTTCTAAAATTGTAACTTATGGATAAAATCATTTATTAAGATATTATTTCCTGTGCGTAAAGTATAATACGTATTTTTTTAATTTCCTATGTAATCACATGGTAACATTTTAAAACAGGACAGGGTAATGTACATTATCTTATTTTTTAAAATAAATATTAATTTATACATGAAATCAATGTTGGATAGTAATTAATTTAGTTGATTATGTGTCAATAATTTACTAACAAATTTTTCCTAATCATTAGGTACAATTTTTTGTCTATATAGTAAAACTTGATAATTTGAAGTTTAAAAAATATCATTATTCTTAATTATCTAGATAAAAACAATTTTTTTGATTCTTAGTGTTAAGTTTTAAGTATTTATATCGGTGAACTATATTCTTATAAGATTGACATTTGTAAAATATAGTGTAATTAAAACTTATGATAAAAATTTTTTTCTTTTTATTATTATTTGACAATAAGGCTTTAATAAAAAATATTATAAGTGTATTTTACAAGTTACAAATTGTTTTAATCAAAAACAAATTATTGTTAAAGTTATTATCTAGTTTTATTGTATAAAGTTACATAGTATGTAACACAACCTATCTCAGTTTTATCATTTTTACAATGTAGCAAAAAAATCAATTTTAGCTTCGATGCGAAGCTGAGAAGGTATTGGTTTTACTAAGATGTGTTTTTTTTTTTACTTTTTTTTTTTTTTTTTTTTTTTTTTTTTTGTGTCTGTAACCACTTTTTCTCAGCTCTCACTGAACGGATTTCTTTCAACGATACGTCAAAAGATCACAAATCGTATCTAGTCGAAGACATTACCCTTCAAAATTGAAAAAATTTCCCTCGTTCCCTATAAATGGGGGAAACCTCCAAAAAAATTACAAATTTAAAAATCGCTAATTTTCGAAATTTTTTCAATTTTTTTTACTAAAAACTGCCGTAACTTTTTCAAAAATGAACATATCAATATAATTTTTTTTTTTATAGATGCTTGATGTCTTTACCTATTATTTGGTATATTTTTTTTGTAAATTTGACCTTTTTTCTGCCCACAGGGGGGGATTTAAAATGACAACTTTTTCACAAAAAATTAACTTTTTCAACTTAACTTTTGAAAATGTTCCGGAAGGTCTGACACTTTTATATATATCTTAAATTAAAGCTAATGTAATGTACTTTAATTTGAAAAAAAAAAATTTGACCTCTGGACTTGTCTTCATGGTGAAAACGGCTACCGAATGCTATTTTTGTGTGAAAATTTTCGATTTCATATTTTACATTTTTAACTTTAAAATGTTATAACTTTTTAAAAAATGTATGGATCAATACAATTTTTTCATGAGAAGTAGTATTTATATACATCTTTCATTGGATATACTTTTTTTTTAAATCAGACTATTTCCCTATATATGGGGGGGCTTCAAATATAAAAAATGCATATAGAAAGTAGAACTTTTTCAACTTAACTTTTGAAAGTGTTCCGGAAGGTCTGACACTTTTATATATATCTTAAATTAAAGCTAATGTAATATACTTTAATTTGAAAAAAAAAAATTTGACCTCTGGACTTGTCTTCACGGCGAAAATGGCTACCGAATGCTATTTTCGTGTGAAAATTCTCGATTTTATTATTTATATTATATTTAACTTTATAATGCTATAACTTATTGAAAAGTTTATGGATCCACACAATTTTTTTATGAGAAATAATATTTTTTAATAAACCCTTTTTCATTCGACATACTTTATCTTAATCGAGATATTAATAAGGAACCAGCAGATCAAGTAGCTTTTGGAATAAAACACCAATTTTTTTAAAATTAAACACTATCTAAAGATTTGCATCGAAGCGTTTATTTTTGATAGTGATTTTAATCACTGTCAGATATCATTATACTTGATCCAACTATACCACGTCACAACTGTGCCGCGACCCCCCTGTGCTGGGTTTTTTTTATTTTATTAGAACTGTATTGTTTTATGTTTCCAGTCTATTATAGTGATCTTTCTTTCTGTTGACTTCATTTTAATTCCAATTTTATTAGTATATGTCTAGTGTAATTATGAATAAACTGTGTCAAGCACAGGTAATTTTCTGAAGAGAATAGCTAATTATTTCTTTACTAAACCCAATTAAAATATTACTGTAAAACCTATATTTTTTTGTTTCATTAAAAAATTTAAAGTATGCTTGAGTTGTTCACTTTTAAAATTATGTTATTAATGATAAGTTATTTTCATGACAAATATAATTTGTGATTAACTGTTAAAATTGATATGTTAATCTATAATTTATATTTTTGGAATAAGATGCAAGTTGGTGCTTTAAGTTTTTTTTTAATATTTCACATTTATTCAATGAAGAATAAATATTTGAAGAGTACAAGGAAAAATTTTGATTTTATGGTTTAATTTAATAACCAGTAAAATTTAATAAACAGTAGTATTAAGAAATATAGTTCTTCTGGTGAAAAGTTATTTCATTTTACTAATATAAAAGAATTTTTTTTTTGTGTTACCATTAAAGAAATAGAAATATTTCTTGGAAAATGTACATAAATGGACTACTGATTATCGTTTTCCTCTGTATTCTTCATTTGCATGGTTGTTATTATAATAAATTGATTAATAAGAAATATTAGTTCTATACCTAAATCTTGAAATCTAATTTGTGTTATGTAGTTTTTTTTATAAGTGTGTGTTCTGAAATTATTGTTTTTGCTTTTGCTTTCTGCCTATTGTGTAGAATATTATCATAGTTATTGTTACGAATATTATAACTAATGTTAATTTTTTTTTTCCTTAATGTAGAAGAAAATCATGATTCTGATATGTTTGACAATCCTCCTTGTTATTCTTGGAGGATTTTTAATGAGTTTCATTCCTGGGTTGTAACTTAACATGGACACAAGTAAGATTAAATATTATGTATATATCTGTATATATGTTATTAGTATTAAATATACAAGTTCATTTATTTGGCTTAAACTATTTTTTAATACTTAGAACTTTATCAATTGATTAATAAATTAATAATTAATAAATATCAGAATATTATTTTTCCCAAATATAATAATTGTTCATTTATAAATTTTTTTTTATTCTTTTTCATTTTTAAATTACATTTGGTACATAGATTATTTTTTTTTCATAACTTGCAGAGCAATTTTTTTACGGTTTCATCCGGCAGAACAGTCACACAATACATTTACTAGTTCTTCGGCTTATAAAGACTGGGATAGCGTACAAAAATAAAGTTGTACTTTTATTATTATTTTTAATTCCCTCTTTCTGTCTATAAAAATCCAAGCCTGTTAAAATTTTTTAATATCACTGGTCGTCCTATTTTAAATGTATTGTAAAATATTTATTGTTTAAAATACCTCTTTCTTCATTATTATAGTTCTATTGTTATTGATAAATTATTAGATTTTTACAACCAACTTATATAATATCTATGTGTAATAATATTATTTAATATGTATAATTATAATATAGACGTTCATGTGATAATTCGTTAAGATATTTGAAATTTTTGGCTTCCTCGTTTTATTATTTTATTGTTTTTTTGCAATGTGTTGCGTAGGTAAACTGAAAATATGTCAATTTAAATAAATAAAAAAAAACCTAGCTGTTTTGTTCTACTTAAGTATTATTCGTCTGTATATGCTAAAGACTATAGAGGGACTAATTTAATGTATGTATTTATTTAATTTCAACATTTTTATTATTTTTAATATTAAGAATAGTTAACCCCTTGATAGTTGTAATTTGTTAAAGTGCCTTGAAATATATAGTCGTCAAGTAACAATAGTAAGATAGGGATGTTTGCTTAAAAATAGATTATATATAATTACTGACATTAAAAATTTAACTATCTAAAAGCAATCTAATTTTTTTTTTTGTTATATCTACTTTATAAAATATTTTTATTTATATATTTGATATACTTGTTCAAAGATAATAGTATTAGTAGCAAAATAAAATCAATTTTGTTGTATTTATTTTTATTAATATTAATTCAAGTATAGATTTTATTTAATTGATGATGTTTTTGTCATCATTAATTATAAATCGCTCAATGAATTTTTTTTCATTGTAGTAATATTTCTTTATTTTTTAAGTATCAAAAAAAAAAAACATCTTATAGGGAAAAATAATTATATTCTTTTTTTTAATTTATGTTTGAACTTTTTGTAAATGATATTTTAATATTGAAGTAACTACTCATATTAATAATCATTACATCTTTAATATTTGCCACTGTGCTTTCTCTAATAATAATTTGCCATTTTAGTTAATTTTATTGTTGATCTGTAACTAATTATAAAAGATAGTTAATGTGACTACCATCTGTAACACAAAAAACTTAATATGCCAATTTTAACTATATGTGACATTATAGTTTTTTGAATTTAAACTATTATTTTATATAATTTCATATAAAAAAAAACATTTATCATTGAATATTTTTAAAGTTGTGGTTAAAATATTGTTTTGATCTGTTAATATAAAAACTTAGTGACTTTTTTTAAATTAAACATTAAAATAAATATTTGTAACACATACCTACATAATAAAATAATACGTTTCTTGCCTTATTTTTATGTTTATCAAAATAATGATAGTTAATTATATTTACAAATATTTAATAGACTTTAAATACCTATAACTAATTAATATATATTTATATGTATGTGTATAATTAATACATACATATATTTCACAATATTTTCCTTTAATTTATTTATTATTATTAATAATTTATTTTTAAATAATAGAAATGTATAAAATTTTTATTAAATATACACATTTTATAGATTAATAGTGGACTTTTTTTTAAATTTTAGACATTTAAATATTACGATTAAACTAAGAATTGTACAGTGAATAAAAATTGTTTCTTGTTAAATTTGTTGATCTTTGCCTGTAATTGTAGTGGAGGTATTAATTTTTTTAATGTTTAAGTGTTAATATTGTAAAAATAGTGCAATTTAAGTCTTTTTAATAAAAAATTTGTTTTTATTAGTTTTTAAGAGAGCATTTTATTAAGACTAATATTTTCACTGCAATCTCTTTTAGTTTTCACTGTATAAGTTGTTATAAATTGTCTTCTGTCAATTTTATCAAATTAAATAAATTTTTTAAAGTATATATATTTATTATCAAAATTTAGATAGGTTCAAAAATTGAAAATATGTTTTTAGCACATTTAAGCTTAATACTAACATATTAGTTCTTTATTACTTTCTTGTTAAAAATATTTGATTGAAGTAAAATTTTTTTTATAGATTAACTGATTGATTAACATTAATCCAACTTAATAGTTACTTTATTTTTCTTTATAATGAGGTTGAAAGTTAAATAAGCCTGTAAAAATTTTTCTATGACACATGGCTAAAATTTATTAGCTAAATATTTTACCTCTTCTTTACAGTAGCATTTAAAATTTTTTTGAGTATTAAAATATATATATATATATTTATATGTTTTTTTTTGTATGATCTACATAGTTATATACTATGATTAATGTAGATTTTTTTTTTTTGTAAATGTTTTTTTCGCCATTATCGATCAAAACTCACTGATTTGCGATGTCAGAAGTATATTGTTGTATCTATTTTTTATTTTGTCTGATAAAACTCATTGAATAAGTTTACAAATTTGGTAATAAATCGTATTAACATATGCATTCTTATTATTCGTATTAATAATGTTTATCACTATTTCATTATTGATAGATAATAAATTAAAAACTAACCTTTTAGTATTTATTTCTTTATATAATATTCAAGTAATATATTGGAATATTTTTGTTTATTTTAAACTGATTAATTAGGGGTACGTATAATTAACTATTTTATTCAAGTAAAATAAAATTTTCACGCAATATTAATTTGATTATGTATTTTTTTTAATATGGTTATAGATAATCAATTTTAATTTATTATTACGCTACCGTTTCATACAGATTAGATAAAAACGAGGGAGTGGCATGATAAACTGCTGTGTTCTATTTACAAAAATAAGTTTTATTTAAAACTATGCGTTAATATTGTTACGTTTAAATCCAATAGTATTCTTCTCCAAGATATCAATTAAATGAAAAAAAAAAGACAGTATTTTTAAAGTATTTTTTGTGACAACTACAATTTGAATTTTAGTAAATAACCTACCCACTTTATTACATTTACCATGTAAAAGAATATTTAAAGCTAACATATTAAATGTGGGACGGTATAATATCTTGGGGTATCTAATTATAATTTCCCTACAAATATTTTGAACAATACATGATTATTTTCAAATTTTTGGTGGAGATGATCAATTTCTTGATGGGAATCGCTTCCCATCCAATATTTGTATTTCCACATGAGATTAATATTTATATTAAAAAAAGAAATTATATTGTCTGCCAGTTGAGTTTAAGCTTGATTGCTACCTTCTGGTCTGATTTTTATATTATTTTAATGCATTCCTATTTTGTTCTTAGAAGTTATTAAGAGATAGTTTCTCTATAAAATAAATTATTATATGGTGAGGATAAAATAAATTTTTTTAAATAGATGTGACTATTTTTTTATGTAAATTCTTCCCAAATCAATTTATTCACGCCATTGATTTTGCATCTACCCCATTTTTTTATTTTAAAGTGAAAAGTAAAATTATTTTCCAGTTATCTCAAAACACATATCTGAGTATATAGGGGTAGTAAAAAATATAAATGTAATCAGAACATTTCTTAGGGTTCTATTTTTCTTATGAATTTTTTTCATTATTTATTTGAAACTAAACTATGTAATAATTATTTTACCCGCGTAAAGAAAATGATTAAAGTTTTTTTTAAGAAAGGCTTTAATTTATTACATGTGAATGTTAAATTAATTTTAAGAGCAAAATTTAAAATAATTTTATAATATTATTATTTAATAAACGATATTTGGTATTTCTTAAATTTTTTTGCTATAAAATCTAGCCTATCCGTTTATCCAGTGTCGTATTTCTCAGTAGTTTTATAAATGAGTAAAGCATTCGAATCTTTACTGACTCAAGAATAAACCTTTTCTCCTATAATACTATTAAGGAGTATGTTCACGACTATCAGCCGTATATAGCTATAGCTACTACTTTTTTGATTATGGTACATCGTGTCATCGTATGCATCGATCAAATCTCAGTCGACATTGGTATAATATATTAATATAATACTTTATATTTACGTTTAAATGTAAAATATTTTAATTCATTTTTAATTGTATTTGCACAAAATGTTACTGGTATCGCTTAAAACTTTAACATTCAATATCAAAATATAGGTATAGATTATAACTTACAATGGATAACTATTATTACAATCAACTGGGGATTAATCCATAATAATTTTAAGTACTATGGTAATTTTTTATTTAAAACATGTATTTGTCAGAGATTAATATGCATTAATTTTAGTGTTAAACCCAATTGAATTCGACCTTGGCATTAAATTTTTTCCGTGTAAGTCTATGTCATGTTGCCTGCAGTATTGCAGTCGTGTCCATGTATACATAGTGCATTTTGCTATTCATTGCAGTAATCGGTGACTGCAAAAATCATTAAATAATGGTAGTGCAATATGCAACCTTCACCTTACAGAAGTGTGATCACTATTGATTGAATTTTCTTCAGTTTAATTTTACAAGGTCGACAAAGTATAAGTTTTTTTGTTTAAATAATGCAGCGTGTCTTTCAAGAATACACTCTTTAAAATTATTTTTTAATGTAAGCTACATAACAATCAATTAATACCATGTTTTAAATCCTCATTAAATAACCTATTTAATGATATCAGTTTCAATCTTTTAACTTAAGTTACAAAAAATTATGGTACAAATTTTAATTTTTTTATCATTTTTTACATTACATTTGGATCAAAATTTCGTATGGACTATTGTTGACATATTAAAAATCATAATCAATAATAATTTGAATAATAAAAACAATTTTTCAAATTAAGTTTTTGTGTGTAGTGACTTTTGTTTTATACTAATTATTATGTAATTGTCTAAAAACTGGAGGTGATAGAAAAAATCTAATTGCAGATTTGATATTAGCTCGAAAAATTGGTTTAGAATAGTATATTTTCGTTTCTGAAGAAAATCTTATAAAGGTTTATTTTGTAGACTTGTGTAATTATAAATAGAGCATAGAATTATACATAGTTGTAACTTTTATTTAAGGTACTTAAAAAAGACGAGAGTTCGATCAGATTTGTAAAGTAGAAAAAATGTTTATCGTCTCCCCAAATAACAAAATCATTGATACAATTTATTACATAGCTTCTTGACTTAAATAATAAGTACTACTTCCTTTTTGTAAGTGTGTTTAGACTATTTTTGCTGATTTTATTTGAAAGGCTCTATGGGAGGCGATAGGATTAGAGCATTTCGGCCTAGACAAGTAAAGCAGCTGTCTTGAGCCCAATATTTTAGATTTAAAAATCTTGATACGTCAGATAGTAACTTCTCTTTTTCAATAAATACATGATAAAATCTAAAAAAGGCGATTTAACCCTTTAAATTTATTTATATTTAATATTGAGTGGGCATTTTGATATTTAAAATATCACAAATCGTATCTAGTTGATCTTTAAGCATCAGAGTTTTGAAAAATTCCTTAATAATGGGAAGTGTATTAAAATTTACTATTATTATATAAAATGTTAATACAGGTTTTCTATTTTTTTATTTATATTAAAAAAACTTAGAAAAACTAACAAATTACTGTGAAACTTTTATTAGCAATACTTTAGACATTTACCTTGCTGACAACATCAAAAGTACTGTATCATAAAAATCATATCAATATTTGTTTTGTTTTCAATTTTTATATTTTTTCAAAAAACAGGACTTCTTTTAGTCTACATAAAATTAAAGTTAATAAAATACACTATAAGATAAAAAAACTTATAGATTTTGTTTTCAATACATGGATTATGGTTGCAATTTAAATTTGGAGTTGATGCAGTCCCAATTAACAGTTTTTTTTATCGTACTATACATATAAAATATGACATTGACGCTACTGAAAAAGTGCCTATCTTAACTATTCTTTTTAAAAAATAAGTAGCGAAAAATATTTAGTGAACCTAAAGTTCTTTATTTATCATAAGGTTATTCATGAAACTAACCGATTTCTCAATTTTTAAAACTATTGCTTATTAAATTATTCTGGTTTCTCTTTATAGATTTTTATATGTTAAGTGATAGTAAAATAAAACTATTGTATTAACTCATTTCTATGGACAAATAAGATAAATTATTATCAATTACTTTTATGTACACGTGTATATACATATGTCAATATAAATTTTTTTTGTGATATATTACTAAATACTTCACTCTGTATTACTATAACTATTATTATTGAACTGATAAATTGTCATTATTATACTATTTAGGTAGAATAGGAAATTTTGTGATTAAATGAATAAACTTCATTGATTAATTTCATGTAATTGTAAAAACGTGTTGAAAAATAAATTAATATTTGCAAATAATAATAATTCTTATCAGTGGTGCTGACTCCTACGATTATATATTGTAAATTTAATACACGCTTAACGTGTATGGTAGTATCATAAAGTGTAATAACTTCAGGAAATATTATTAAAATAATTGTTCAACAACCCGTAAAAAAAAAGAAACTAGAAGTATTGTGGTACTAAAATTGGCTTTAAATATATTTGAATCTATAGTCAACTACGTATAAGATTTTATTCTTATGCAACACATTTTTAAAATAATATTGGCACCACTGGCTTACACGGAGAAAATAAATTCAGTTGGACAACTTTTTTGTTAGTTTATTAATAAATTTTGTTATTTGTTTTTTTGTTTGATTAATCTTTCAATATTTCAACAATTTTATTATTTAACTATTAAATATAATGGTTTAGCTTATGTTTTCAGTAACTATATACACTGTTTTGTTTTTTTAAATATTGAATGATAGAATATAAAATTTTAATTAATTAAATCAAAAATGAACGTTATTACCAAGCTTGCAACTTTAAGAAATGTATATCTGCCTGGAAAATGCATATTGATAATCTTGTTTGATACACTTTTGGTTCAAACTATATGTTTCAAGTATAAAATTTTATTTTACATATTTCATAAATTTTACTAATTTTGCATATTATAAGTTTTACATATATTTTTCATTTTTTACAAAAATCGATTTTTTATTGAGTTGATTTAAATAATTCTAGAATATAACCTTACAAATTTCGTGTTGATCCATGCATTTCAATTCATATCACTGAATGGTCGATTTTAATGTTTTAAAATATAATCATATTTAAAGGAGCAGGATTTCAAATTTTTTTCTCTTAAACTATAACTAAGCTTAATATTTAAAATAAACATTTACAATTTTCTGAGGGGATCCATTAACCTTTTTATTTACCTGTCGAGTTATCAGTAGTATACAGAAATAAGTCTGTTCTCCCTTGCACCTTCTGAAAATATAAGAATATGTCATGTGTTCGAATGACAAGTGTTAGAATATCATTGATTCAAAAAATTTATATTTGAATAATTTTGAACATTTATGTTCAAAAATTAAAATCAATTGCAAATAATGTCACTTAAATAAAAGTTATAGAATAAAAAATAATCAAAAATTCAAAATGTAAGCAATAACAAAGAGAAGCTCTAATAAAATATAAGTGGGGTCATTTTTATTTATAAAACAAGCTCTTTTATTCGTGATTCCTGTTGGTGCTTTGGAAATTTAAGTTTATTTGTCACTCTTCATTAAATAACTTAATTTAATGGCATTGTTCATTGACTGAACTTTTAATTTTTCTTTGGCGTTTTATTAATTGTTTCGATAAGTTTTTCATTATTTGTGATGAGACAATTACAGAATAAATAGCAATATTATTTAAAAAAAGTTATATTGATCCATACATTTTTAAAAAAGTTATAGCATTATAAAGTTAAAAAAAAACCAGCACAGGGTGGTCGCGGCACAGTGGTGACGTGGCATAGTTGAGTCAAGTATAATGATATCTGACAGTGATTAAAATCACTATTATAAAAAACGCTTCGATGCAAATCTTTAGATAGTTTTTAATTTTAAAAAATTGGTGGATTATTCCAAAAGCTACATGATCTGCTATTTCCTTATTTATATCCTGATTAAGATAAAGTATGAAAAAGGGATATAAATATTATTTCTCATAAAAAAATTGTATTGATCCATATACTTTTTAATAAGTTATAGCATTATAAGGTTAAAAATTTAAAATATAGAATCGAGAATTTTCACACAAAAATAGTATTTGGTAGCCATTTTTACCATGAAGACAAAATAAAGTCCGAAAATTTTTTTTTCATGATAAAGTATGTTACATTAGCTTTAATTTGAGATACATATATAAAAGTGTCAGACTTTCCGGAACACTTTCAAAAGTTTAGTTGAAAAAGTTATTTTAAATCCCTTCCTGTAGGCAGATAAAGGGTCAGATTTATAAAAAAAATATACCAAATGAAAAGTTATTTTTAAAACATTTATGGCAGTTTTAATTAAAAAAAATTGAAAAAATTGAAAAAATTAGCGATTTTTAAATTTGTAATTTTTTTGGAGATTTTACCCGTTTACGGGGAAAGAGGAAAATTTTTCAATTTTACCTTCAGGTAATGTCTTCGATTAGATACGATTTTTGATCTTTCGACGTATCGTTGATAGAAATCGGTTCGGTGAGAAAAAGTGGTAACAGACACAAAAAAAAAAAATACACATCATAGTAAAACTAATACCTTCGCATCGAAGCTAAAATAAGATTCTCCAAATATTGAATTTCATGAGCATCTTTTTTATTTTTTAACTCTTTAATTTAATTGCATTTGAGTCAGATACATGAGAGTGATTTTTCACTAAACAATTTTTATTATTTACGTGATTTCAGTTAATTAAATTCGATTTGAATGTAACCCAACATTTTTTTATGCAAATGCAATAATAAGTCCAATATACTTACAAATAATTACTTTTTCCAAACTGTTTTTTGTTAAACGTAAATAAATATCCATTAACAAAAAGCATAAATTATATGTGGATAGCATCTTTTGACTTAATTTGATGATATAGTAAAAAACCAAACATGTTGCAAAATAGACGTCATTAAAATATCTACTGGTAACCACTACAAAAACGATAGGATTTTTACCATAGATTATTATTTAATATCTTCAAGATAACCATACTGTGGCTAAAAAATCACAATATTAAATGGCCTAAAATAACGATTATTTTATTTTTAATCTAATTACTGTCCGTTTTTATAAATCTTATATCTTATCACTACTCTTTTCCAGGGTTGTGTAAAAAACATGTTAAAAAAATAAAGCCTGTTAAAACACATAAGTTAACAAATTAAAATTTTTCAATTGTTTACAGTCTGAGCAATTATCAAGATTTTAATTTTAAAAATTATATTCTGATTCTTCCGAAGTAATAAGTATAATTAAGATTATAAGATTATAAATGTGCTTGAAAATATACATACAAATTTGACATTCTCATTGAACCAGTGGTATATTATATAATTTTCTATCAAAGAATTAATATCAATTATTACTTTTAAAAAACATTTTGTAATGACCGGCGCAGTCGGCCTTCAACCCAAGCTTCAGACAATATTGACAATGAATTTCCCTATTCTTCTTCTTTAATTACAATAAAATAGTATTGAATGACCTGTAAATGCACTATGCTGCATTGCAAGGCCGTACATCATTTATTATTGATCGCTGAAAAATATTTATTGTTGAAGGTGCTTTCCGCATGCCAATGATGTGTTGAAATAAATTCAGTTCCAATAAGTATTATTGATGATAAATAATTGCGAAACTTTTGAAAATGCATAACGATAATTTTACTCATAAGTGTTTGTTATAAAATCTGTGTAATAAAAATTGCATGGGGAAATAATAATGATGTAGCTAGAAATTAGTTGTTTAAAAAAACTTTATTATAATATACATTTGCAAGAAATCATAATGCAAAATAATTATGTTTTTAGATTCCTCGTACTAGCAACGTTACTGCTTATGAGCTAATAAAAATAATAGACTTGACATGATAAATTGAGTAAATTATTTTTGTTTTTCCTGAGGTATCCATAGAGTTAGTTTACTTGGTTTGCTATGAATTACATTTTTTAAATTTAATATTTATTGAATTAAACCCTAGTTTTTATAACTTAATGATTTAAAGGCTTAGTATGTAATAAAAATGATAAGACATTTAAGTTATTTTTTTTTTAATTAATTAGTATAATTGACGATAAATTATCCAAATCTATCTTTCAAAAACAACGCATTTTTAAAGAGAGTTGTATGGTAGCTAAATGGTATATTTATATGTAAAGCCAATAAGCTTGTTTAACTTGATTATTTAATTGATATTTCATTATTTAGAACACTTGAGAACTTTTTGTGTCATCGATTTTTAAAATAAATAAATGCTTTTAATTTTCTTAATGAAATAACACTTTTTCTAATGGAGTATGTAACAAATCTTTGACGTAATCTATATCGTTTGATGTTGTTTTATCATACTATATAACAAATAGTATAGGTGTATTTCTAACAATATTAGTTTTGTAAAAAATTATTTATTATTTTCAACATTCACTAAATCATGATTAATGTAATAAATTTTTTATTAATAATATTGCTTTTAGCTATCATGGAATAATTTTATCAAATATTCTTCGTAATGTTCAAATGCCTAAAAAATTATAAATCAATAAAAAATAAAATAATTAATAATCATAAATAGCAATTTTGTCTTTATTTACATTATATCGAGAAAAATAAGAATAATTTCGGCATGTTCAATTATTATAAATTAAATAAGTTACACTGAGTATTTTTTTCGAATGATACATTCTATCATTTTACAAGAAATGATGCATACTATACTTAAAATTTTGTTTTTATTCATATAAAAGTAAATCATATAGATAGAAAGGAATAAGATTGTGTGTTTTAAATAAAAACCATGTACTTATTGAAGATGGCGCTTGTAGAATAAAAATATATAAGGAGTGAATCATCAAACATTGTTTTTAAAATTACTATTATGTTAATTATAATTGATTAAATTCTTGACCATCGAAAAAATCTACGGTTAATTCTAAAATTTTTGTATTAGTCATTATCTTAAATTTACATAATTGTTAACAATAGTCATTATTATTTTAATAGATTACTTTCATCTGTACGTCACTCTTTAACTTTGGGAATAATTTAAGAGTAGCATTTAAATCCCAAAGAGGTGTATTTTATATGCCATAGTCAAATTTAGATGATAATCCAGATGGACAGTTTACAATTAACTATTTTGTGAAGTATTTATTTTTCTTAGATTAAATATATTATAATTATTTGTAAATATAAAGAAAGTCGAAAATGAAATCTGCCATTTAAAAAATATAAAGTTGGTAGAGATAGACCAACAAAATATTTAACCTCTTATTAATAGAGAAATAAATTAAACAAAATAAAATCATACAAATTTATTTCAAAATTAATATTATTTTAGGAGAAATTTAATGGTCAACAATAAATAAACTACTCTGTATAGTTGGAAGAACTATCCTTTATAGTTGGCCTAACTATAATATCAGCTTGAATTACTATGTAAATTTAGTTAACAATTTTGTAGTAACTATAATTACTATAATTTCATTTGGCCTAACTATATATTTTTTTGTGTGTTCTTTGGGAATTCAGCGAGTTTGCATTTTCTTTTTATTATTGATTGATATCTGACAGTTGTTTGAATCACTATTGTTAAATATTTTGATGCGTATTTGAAAAAAATTAAAAATTTTTTTAATCATATTCGCTAATAATTACATGATTTTCAACTTTAAAAGCCAATTAATCATAAAAAATATGTCACAGAATGTCTTAATTTTTTAGAATTATATTAAATACCTGTTATTAATTCTTTTTCTGAATAATTGGGATGTTTTATGCTATGCTAAATACTTCAAAATTGACAATTTTTACTAAAATCGTTGATTTTTGTAAAAATGACCGATAAGTCCTCGAAATATAAATAAGGTTTA